ATCGGTTTTTGCCCAGTGCGAAAATTAGAAAATAGTTTTTTGCACTGTGCAAAAATTCGAAAATTAGCTTTTGCACAGTGCATAATTTAAAAGTTATCTTTTGCACTGTGCAAAAATTAAAATCAATTTTACGCACGGTGCATTGAAAATTTAGGACATATTTCTTTCCGGAAAAATCAAAAAATTCAAATTAATTAAACTATAATTCAAAAAAATACTGATATTAATACTGCACTGTGCAAAACGACGAAAATTTTATTTGCACAGTGCAGATAATAAAACTCATTTTTTTTTCCGGCGGCACAAGAAAAATTTCTATTTTTACTACACTATGCAAGATGTTAGAGACTAATTTTGACATCACAGGCCGTTGAAAATAGTGTAGTTGATATCTGCACCGTGCAAAAACAAAAGATTTGATCTGCACAGTGCGAAAGATTCCAAGATGCAATACTGCACCGTGCAATAGGAAAAAATGAAATTTTTTAATGTAAAATACGAACCCAGAGTTTTCTTTACACATATTTACAAGATACAGTCCAAAAAGTGGTCTGCACTGTGCGAAAATTTCAGTTCTTGACTTTGCACGGTGCGATAAAAGTTTTTGGACAATTGCACTGTGCAGAGACTAAATATGTTCTTGGAACATAATTACAAAGCTAGCTGATGTAAAATACGACTTTCTAAATTGACACTGTCTTTTAATTTTTGCATTGTGATGTCTAAAAATTAAATTTTGTCTATCCGCAACGTGCAAAAATCAAATATCCAAAACTCGCCGTAATATAGATATAATATAGGTACGGTATGCAAACAGTAGTCGAATCCCCTAATCCTGAGCATTAGCAAGCCCTCTTTGTCCATTTCCGCTGCGAACTTTTGATCCGCTCCGAGTTTTCAAGAGTCCAAATCCGAGAGAATCCAATCTGCAGCGGGCGCCTTTGACACAACTTGTTTGATTGTGTAATCTAATGCATGGACTTGAGATTTCCGGCTTCTTTTGGGAGGACTTTGATCAACTATCAAGAGATTTTACCGATTTTTGGAACAAATTTTGGATTGCACTGTGCGAAAATTTTCAGTTTGAATTTGCACTGTGCAAAATTCAGTCAGAATTGAAAAACTAATTTTCTTGAGTAAAATACGCCATAAGAATACCATATGAAAATTTTTTTACGCTTTTTCCAAAAAAGCTACATTTTATACGGAAAATTGAAAACTGCACTGTGCGAAAATTTTCAGTTTGAATTTTCACTGTGCGAGATTAAGTGAAAATTAAAAAAGCAATTTTCTTGGGTAAAATACGCCTCTAGAACATCCTTTGACGATTTTCTTACTCCCTTTTCCAAAAAAGCGACATTTTATACGGAAAATTGAAAACCGCACGGTGCGAAAAAAAATCAATTCCAATTTGGTCAGTGGTGGTAAAATACGTGAGAAGAAACTTTTCCTTGTAATATGTATAGACTATTGTCAAGTTTTCCTGATTTGGCGACATTTTATACGAAAAAATTTGATTGCACAGTGCGAATTTTTCATATCTTCTAAAAGTGGTGGATAAAAAAGGGAAACCCAAAAAATTTAATGTAAAATACGCTGATTGAGGTGACGTCGTTAAATCCATCATTTTTTCCTATCTTCACTTACAGGTTGACATCTTATACAATAAAGTTTTGATTTGCACAGTGCAGGAACATTCAAATTTTTCGTTTTTGAAAAATGGCAATTAAAAAAAATATTATTGTAAGATACGATGTGGAATTTACTTTGTCGTTTATTTTCCCGCTGTTTCCATGACAAAGGGACACTTTATACGAAAAAAAATTAATTTGCACTGTGCGAAAATTCCCGAATTTTTGAAGTTACGCAAGCGGCAAAAAAGTAAAAAAAATTAAATTTGAGGGTAAAATACGTTCATTTGATTTTTTTGTTTTTCATTTTTCCAAGTTATAGCCCAGAAGGCGACATTTTATACAAAAAAAAATTGTCGTATAAAATGTCGCCTTTAGCATAATTTTTGCCAAACATCGGTTTTCGGACAGCTTTTTACACTGTCAACCATTGATTTTTCCAAATGATGGCCCAGAAAGTGACATTTTATACGAAAATTTTTGTTTCGTATAAAATGTCGCCTTTAGCATAATTTTTGCCAGACATCGATTTTCAGACATTCTTTGTACACTGTTGAAACTTGATTTTCCCCCTAAATCCGGTCTGATCCAACGTTACGCAACATCCCGTCGTCTTCCATAACCTTCCCATTGTCCCGTTTACCGTACTCTTGCCAGAAAAAACGCATTCATTAGATGACCTTTTCCGGTCCCATTCAACGAATGGATTCGCGTTCTCAATGTCCTGGAACTGGCGCAATTCCGTGTGTAAACATTGGGACAAGTGGAGTTAACCTTGGGCGTCAAGTGGTCAAACAACAGGTTGGTGGGGGGATAAGTGAACGAGATCTCATACGGCGCAAAGGAGAGGTCTCATTAGCGATGGAAATGGGGTTAAACAGAGGGGTATGGTAACGGAAATGGAGAATAATTGGTTTGCGTTACGTTACAGAATGTCTTAGAGGTAAATTGCACATAAAAAATGCAATATTTGTGTCGGGAAAATAATGTGGATAGCAGAATTTCTTGCGTCATCGCAATGCCCCCCACAAATCTATAGTAGCCGTTGCAAAGCTACATTTGGACGATTTGAAGACCCGACATGCACAGTATTTTCCCGACAGACTGATATCAGCCTGTCGGGAAAATAATGAGCACTCTGTCGCATCAAAAATCGCATCGCCGCCGGGAAAATGAATAGTGTAGCGGCAGAATCAAATTTCTTTTCGACGCGATCTGCCAAGCGATAATGTGCTCATTATTTTCCCGACAGATTGGTAGAGAGGAAAAACTATTTATATAGGAAAAAAATTTTTATTAGAAAAATTTTTTTTTCCAAATATCGCGTCGATATGTTTTTCTCTTTAAATTTTATCGCTAATTCCAAATTTTCTCCAAAAAATTTTAAAAAATCAAAAAATTTCCCTCAAAAAATCGCCAAATTAACCCAACTTCTTGCCCAGTTGATCCCCCACAATCCGCACTTGAAAGTCCATTAGTCTTTTCCGGCGTTTCGCTTTGTTTTTTCGCTGTTTTCGGTCTCCAAAGGTGAACAAGAAGTTGTGAGAAAGTTGCGAGAACCCACTCGACTCCCAAGTGCTTACTGTTCGAACAAAAAACGCCGGCGCAACATGGCCTTATATCCATGCCGCGTCGAATTAAGTTCTCTTTGTTTTTTGTGGGCACTTCAACGTGCATTGCGCTCGCTCCAAAACCTCTGTATAGCGAACAATTTAGAAGTGTTGTTCGCGAAAAAAATGCGTATTTTCCCGAGCAAAATGTGGATATTAAAAACTGCGACAAGTTTGGAGTGGCCTTGAAGACGAAATCTACATGGCTCTTGAGCCCATTAGAGGGATATATTATATTCATTTATGGGCCGGATCTCTGCAGTGCCCGGAAATGGAATGCGCCAAATAATGGGGAAAACGTATTGGAAAAGTGAGAGGTTATAATGGAAATGGGCTCAATTTGACGCCAAAAATACTTTTAGATGCTTTCCCACCAAATTCAGGTAAAATACGAGAAAATGGACATTTTATACGATGAAACCTGTACATCAGTAAACAATCGTTATAATGGTTGCTATTGTGCTTAGCAAAAAGGTTCACAATTTCTGTAGAAGGTATCTTACTCATAATATCAAATTTTTTTAAAGATCGACAAGTTATACGATAGAACATGTATCATCTTAAAAAAAATTTTGTGCTGTTTATGTAAATTTTTACATCTTCTAACATCGAAAAACGTTTTGTTCTCAATTCCTAACCAGACTTAAACTTTTTTTGCAAAAAGCAACATCTTATACGATGAAACATGCACAAACATGTTTCATCGTATAAAATGTCAACCGCGCAAATTTTCATTAACAAATTGCTAAATTAGCAAAATAATTCAATTTTCCAACATATTTCTCCACAACGCCGTTTCAAAATCCTACAGTATTCCCCTTGAAAAGCCCCTTTTCCCATATTTTTTCTCCCAGAAATCCCGACAAAAACGGCGGTTGCGCAACAGTGCGATGAACCGGAAAAGACGATTAAAATTTACATGGAGATCCATTACATGTAAATAGATCAGACCAACGCGCCGAAAAGGCCGACTCTTTTCGGGCCCGAGAACGGCGCAAAAATGAAAAAATCTCAAGGACATTCTCATATAAGGCCGTGAAAAATAAAAAAAAATCGAAAAAAGAAGGGTAAATAAATCAAAAATTGGAAGAAGTACGTAGTTTTGGGCATACGCAAAATCAGAAATTGAAATACGCATTATACGATGAAACATGTCCAGAGGAGTTTCATCGTATAAAATGTCCCTTTTTGACTTTTTAATCTAAATCAAAAGAGAAAAGTGATAAAAATTTAACAGCTCTTCATTTCAAATTCAACTAAAATTCAGAATACACGTTATACGGTGTTATACGATGAAACATGCCCAGAGAATTTGCATCGTATAAAATGTCCTTTTTTAGCGTTTAGACAAAATTAAAATTGTTAAAAAATCAACGGGTTGAATTCCAAATTCAATTAGAAATCGCAATACACATTATACGATGAAACATGCCCAGACAGGTTTCATCGTATAAAATGTCTCCTTCTGGATTTTTGGATTGATCAAAAACGATAAAACGTCAACAGCTCTTCATTTCAAATTCAATCAGTGTTCGAAATACACGTTATACGATTTTATACGATGAAACCTGTCCAAGCAGGTTCTATCGTATAAACTGTCCCCATTACAATCAAAAATAATATTTATTGCTCTCATAAAGCAAGTACAATATATTTTGACAGTGTAAATGTTTTTTTTTTTTCAATTATAGCGAACCGACTTTCCTGTTGATTAGACTGATATTGCACTTGATGAAGAGTAAAGTGACAAAATTGGGAATTAAAATTCCACAATATTGCTCAGAATTGCCTGAAAATAAACGTTAGGTAAAATAATATTTAATTATGAAAAAATTTTAGAAAAAAAAATTTTTTTGATGGTAAAATACGATGCGCTGTGATATCTGTAATTATTTTCAAAAAATAAAAAAAAATTTAAAAAAAAATATTTAAAAAAATTTAATTTTACAAATTCTAAAAAATATTTTTTAATCAAAAAAATCCAAAAAAATCAGTTTTTTTTGCCCCAAAAATATTTTCTCACCTGTTCCAAGACCCTATAAACCTTGCTCCACGTGTGCGCGGAGCTCTCGCTGAGCTGCGGCTCCCCCAACACTTGAATCAGCATCCCAATCAGCCCTTCCATAAAGGCCTTCCGCACCAAAGTTGGGCACACATTGATCACCAAACAGGTGCTCACAAACTCTTGTAGAATCGAGGGCAAGTGGACAAAGCCATGTTCAATTGTGTAGAAGTTGATGGTGATCTCGAGGGCCTGAAAAAAGTTGAATATTGCGTGGTAAAAAAGATCGTATTAAAAAAATGAAAAGTAAAAAATGGAAAAAATAAAAAAAAAAATAATAAAAAAGTTTAAACAAATAAAAAATGAAATAAAAATAGAAGATAAAAGAACGATTAAAGAAAATAAAAAAATCAAAATAAAAAAAATCAAAAAAATAATAAAAAATAAGATAAAAATCAAAATAAAATTTAAAAAATCAAAAAATCAAATAAAAATAGTAAAAAAATTTAAACAAATAAAAAATGAAATAAAAATAAAAAATAAAAGAACAATCAAAGAAAATAAAAAAAAATCAAAAAAAGAAAATAAAAAAAATCAAAATAAATAATAAAAAAATTAAACAAGTAAACAAGTAAAAAATGAAATAAAAATAAAAAATAAAAGAACAATGAAAGAAAATAAAAAAAATCAAAAAAAGAAAATAAAAAAAATCAAAATAAATAATAAAAAATCTAAAAAAATAAAAAAATAAGATAAAAATCAAAATAAAATATAAAATAAAATAAAAATCAAATAAAAATAAAAATAAAAAAAATCAAAAAAGTCAAAAAAAAATAAATAAAAAAATAGACATACCCGTATCACTTCAATTGAAAACTTTTTAAAATCACTATCATCCGGCTTCAAATTCACTGCCATATCGATTTTATATTTCTCCAACAGCTCTTCGTATGTCTGAAAAAAACATTTTTAAAATACGCGAAAATGAATCTTCATGGATTTACACAATAGAGACTGTTCATTTTTTATCGATTTTTTTATCGCAAAATTATTTTTTTTCATGGAATTTTAAAAAATTTCAAAATTAAAAAATTTTGATTTTTTTTTTTTTTTTGCAATTTCATATCGCATTTTTTCCCTCAAAAAATCAAAGAAATTTCAACTCACCTTGAGCGCAATTCCCGTACAAATACTCCCAGCCTTGTCCAAGCCGTACTCTTTGACCTGGCCCCACACTTTTTTCACGTATTTCATTTCCATTGACGTCATGCATTGAATTAAATAATTTTTGCGTTCGTGCGAAATCCCCAAATTGATATGTCGTTTGACCATGACGAAGAAACGAGTCCACGCTCGGAGCAGGTTGTCGTCCGGCGCTTCGGCGGTGTCGATGAGAACCGACTTGAGGGCGTGCAAAAGACTCTCTTGGAATACCTGAAAATGAGATTTTTTGATTAAAAACCGGCAAAATATTTGTGGTATTGACACAAATAGTGTTCTTTATAAGCCGTCAGGATGTTCAGAGGCTGTTTTAGAAATTTTCTAGATAAATACCACTTTATACGAAGAAATCTGCTCAGAAATGTTTCATCGTATAAAATAGTGTCTCAGCGGTGGTATTTTAACTGTTTTTTTCAAGTTATGTTTGTTACATGGTGTTTGAGATAAAACAAATGAAGTTTTGCAAAAATCCCATTATGATGATATTTTATACGATGAAACCTCTTCAGAAATGTTTCATCGTATAAAATGGTGTCTCAACGGCGGAATTTTCACTGTTTTTTCAAATGATATTTTTTATTAGTTGCTTGGGCAAAAACAATAAAACTTTGCCAAAGAACCGACTATACTGACATTTTATACGATGAAACCTGTTTATACAAGTTTTGCCGTATAAAATGGCTCACTATGCCGAAAACTTTGAAATTTTGATTGATTAAGCACCTTTGTTTGCGTGCAAATAATAAAACATGGCTCGGATTCAAAAACTTCGTTTGATTGCCATTTTATACGATAAAACATTCTCATAACTGTTTTCTCGTATAAAATGGCACCTGATAGCAAAAGCCTAATTCTAAATCTTTTAATACGCTTAATGCCGTGCTATGATTGTCTTACCTAACCATTATAATGAATTATTCACAAATCAAAGAAAATAAACTTTTCATCGTATAAAATGTCACCCACCTCCAAATGCGGTTCGTAGGCGTCGTAGAAGAAGTGATGAGCTCCCAACTGTTGCAATAGCTTCGCCAGACCATGCTCATCATCCAGGTTGTCCATAATCATCGTAAACGCCGCTTGTATACTTGCACAATGATGTCTAAAATACAAAAAAAAATCAATTTTTTGAAATTCAAAAATTCTCAAGAACTCACTTGAAAGTGTTGTCCCTCAAAATATCATGCTCCCAGTTGTCATTTTTCATGTTCAAAGAGCGACTGAACTGCCAGACCGGCCTCATTTGCGGGTACCTCCGGATCATGTAGATAAAGACTTCTTGGATGACATTCTGCTGCTGATTCTGTTTGTATAGTTGAATCCAATGCGCTCTGGCGGCGTCCAAAGAGCCGGATTGAATATCTGAAATCGAGATTTTTTGAATTGAAAATCGAAAAATTTAAAAAAAAAATTGCACTGTACTAATGGTATGTTTTGAAAATTTTTTGCACAGGAAAATTTAATTTAATTTTTTTTTTTTTTTTTTTTTTTGAATTTTGAGAAATTTTTATTTAATAAAAATTTTTTGCACAGTGCATTAAAAAAATTGCACTGTGCGCCGACAAAAATTTAAAATAACTTTTTGCACTGACAAGGGGTCGGCAAATAGTTGCACCCTGCTTTCTTAACGAAACCTATATCATTTAAAAGAGCATTAAAAATAGTGCACAGCGCAAAAAAAATTAGCTGCCCAATATATGTTTGGGCAAAGTTATGGCCTAAATACAGATTTTAGCCTAATTTCCGCGTCACTTTATAAGCTCTTGGAACGGCAACAAAGTTGTGTCCAGTTGGCCGAGTGGTAGTGACCTCACTTCCGGCGAAACAGGTCGTGGTTTCGAAGCCGGGCGCTGCAAATTTTTTTGCATTTCGTCTCTTATATGCCACAAAACCATTTTTAAATAATTTTTGTTCCTTCGCAGTCAAAATACATTTTTACGGGATTTTTTCGAGTTTTTGGTTTTTTTTTTGCTACCACCACATATTTGATGGTGATGAGAGTGGGGATTCCTATCGTATAATTACAAGGGTGTCATGCCTTTACCCTGACCGATTATGATTACTGGACGATAATTCAATTTACAAGGGCCTATAAATATAATTTTTTCGAAAAAAATACGAAGAGAAAATTACAAAAGCGGCCAAAACACTATTGCTGACACAGTGGCCTAACCATCGGTAAGGCTAGGACAATAAATTTTTGATTTTGAGATTTTTGTTTGTAAATGGCCACGACGATCATACAAATGAATTCTCAAAGTTTTTTGCTCCAGTTTTCCCATTAACCTAGTTTTATTTACAATTTTTTGTAAATGGCAGTAATGCGACATTATAATGTCTAATAACTCATAACCAAGGATTGGTAAAGCGATGAAACGACCGTGATAGACGTTTCGGGATACTAGTAAGAAAATGGAGACAATTTCAAGCCGCCAGGATTACTGTAATAGAAGAAACCGGCGTTTTGGCCGCATATAACCCTTATCATAAAACGGCCATAACTTTGCCCAAACATATATTGGGCAGCTAATTTTTCCTGTGTTGTACACTATTTTCAATGCTCTTTCAAACAGTATATGTTTCGTTAAGAAAGCAGGGTGCAACTATTTGCCGATCCCTTGTAAGCGATAAAAAAATCTTTCTTTTTATTTTTTATCGCACTGCGCGCTGAAAAAAATATATTTTTTTTTTGCACGGTGCAAGTTTCGACTCAATTTTTTCCGCACTGTGCACTCTAAAAATATATTTTTTTGCACTGTGCAGATTTCGACTTATTTTTTGCACCGTGCGCAGACAAAAATTCGAAATAAGTTTTTGCACAGTGCGATAAAAAAAAATTTTCACCGCACTGTGCACTGAAAATTTTATTTTTTTTTGCACAGTGCAAATTACGACTTTATTTCATCGCACTGTGCATTCTGAAAAATAATTTTTTTGCACAGTGCAAATCTCGGCTTCATTTTTTTGCACTGTGCTCAACACAAATTCCAAGTAATTTTTTCACAGTGCGAAAAAAAATTTTCGTCGCACTGTGCACTCTCAAGATATATTTTTTTGCACGGTGCAACTTTCTACCTATTTTTTTGCACGGTGCAACTTCCGACCTAATTTTTTTGCACTGTGCACTGAAAATTTTATTTTTTTTTTTGCACAGTGCAAATTTCGACTTATTTTTATGCACCGTGCGCAGACAAAAATTCCACATATTTTTTTTCACAGTGCGAAAAAAAATTTTCGTCGCACTGTGCACTCTCAAGATATATTTTTTTGCACTGTGCAAATTTCCACTTATTTTCTTTTGCCCCGACAAAAATTCAAAATATTTTTTTTTTCAATCTCCACAGCCCCTATTTTTAAATTTAAAAAAAAAATTCACCTACCATTACTCAAAATTTCGTCCTTGTTTCCACTGTGCAGTGCGGCCAAGTCGATGTCCGACTCGGAATGCAACCGCAACGGAGGCAACGGGCTCTTCGCCCGGCGGCCGGGCGTAATGTCCGATGATGGGTCCAGCGTTCCGTTGGGCATATTAATGAAGCGCTTCAGGGGTCTGTCGTCACTGTCCCCGGAGGGGATTCGCAGCACAGTTTCCTCGGAAAACGTGGAGGACGAGGAGTCGGAACGGGTGCTCAGTTCGTGCAGATCAATGGAGTCGTCGCGGAGGAACTGAAAAACGGGATAATAGATATTGTAAAATACGGCATCCAGAAGTCTGCTTTTTTTATGTTTCAAAAAATTTTGTTTTTATTTGCCCTCAGGGTGAAAATTTTTTATTATTTTTTTCTGATCAATTTAAATTTATTTCTAAAAATGCCATCTCTTAAAGCGGCATTTTATACGACAAAACATTTCTAAACATGTTTCATCGTATAAAATGACACTTTCGTAAAATTCAGTAAAATTAAATTAGATGGCCCTCTGATCAATTTCTGAAAATTTTAGCTCGTAATTGCAAGGGCAGCCAAGATTTTCAACTTTTTTCAGAGAGAGTACGATGAATGCGGAGAGCGGCCAGAGAAAAAACAGCTTTTTGACCATATCTCTGCCAGTTTCGTGCGGAAAAAATTTATTTTTTGTGGAAGCATTATTCTCTACGGTAGAAATAAGGCTGAAACTTTTCATGGATAAACTCGCAAAAAAATTGCTGGATTTTTTTCAAGTTTTGGTTCAAAAATCCTGGTTGCTTCTGCGTATTGTGAGCTGGGAGTATCGTATTTGCCATAGAAAAAAGTATTCTAAATTTGCCCTACGTTTCATCAAAATCTAAGCGCAGTCTGGAGATAGATTATATAAATTTCCCCCCAAATGCTACAGTAACCTAACCATGTTAAAAACAAAAATAGAAAAACATATACGCGATACAGTATCCAAATTCCCCTTATTTGCACTAAAAACTTCTGGAATTCCATGTCAGAAACATATAAATTCAGTAATAATAAACCAAAAGTCCCTATAAGGGCGAAAACTTGCCCGTTTTTTAACAAAGAATTGCGTGCTTCAGAAAGATTATAGCCCATTATTTTTGGGGGTTTGCTCTCTCATCCGGCGTCATCCCAACGACCCCTAGCATTTATCATGAACCGATTATTTTGGAATCTTTAGACTAATTAGGGAGAATATTCGATGAACATACGTCGGGCGCAAAATTTCGGCTTCGAAAGAGACATTTTATACGTCAAAACCTTTCCAAGAACGTTTCATCGTATAAAATGGAATCTTCGCAAAAAAATTTAAAAGTAATTTAAATGGGCTTCTAATCAATTTCTAAAGGGTTTTAGCTTCTAAAAGTGACATTTTATACGAAAAAATATCTCCAAGCATGTTTGATCGTATAAAATGGTATCTTTGCAAAAAATTTTAATAGTAATTAAAATGGGCTTCTAATCAATTTCTAAACGGTTTTAGCTTCTAAAAGTGACATTTTATACGAAAAAATATCTCCAAGCATCTTTCATCGTATAAAATGGTATCTTTATAAAATTTAAATAAGCTAGATGGGTGTATAATCAATTGCTGAAGGTTTTAACTCGCTCTTTGCAGAGTGAGCCAAGATATTCAACTTTATTCTCAGAGAGTACGAGGAATGCGGAGAGCGTCAGAGAGAAAAAGACTTTTTGGCCATATCTTTGCCAATTTTGCACGGAAAAAAGTGATTTTTTGTGGAAACATTACTATCCACGGTAGAAACTGGTATGCAACTTTTCATGAATGATCCAAAAAAGGACCAACTCTTACAGAGCTTCTCAATTACCCCTCTAAAAGCGGATTAAAACCTCATTTTAATGACTTTTGAGACGATAAAATGTCACAAAACTCTTCAAAAATCCTTAAAAAAACCCAAACCTCAAATAAATGAAGATCAAAACACTCTCCTACCTCTTCCATTTTGGCCACACACAAACGTTTCGCCAACAATCCCAATAAAGTAAAGTGAGCCAAAAATGGGCCCGAGAAACCTCCGGCCCCGGTCCAATTACTCTTTATGCGATAAAATTGTAAAAAAACAGACGATACGGCGGCAGGACGGGCGGATTGTCCTCGCCGCTTTGCCGCCTAATCCCCTCCGCTTACCTGCAGATATTCGTAATACATGGTTGCGTCAAGGAAAGCCCCTCCAGGGATCCATTCAAGGCTGGAAAAGAGGGAAAGTTTGGAAGAATGGTGTCTTAAAATTTTGAAAAAATTAAGGAAAAAATTTTTTTGAAAAATTTTAAAAGTAAATAAAAATAATTGGGTAAAATACGGAAAAAATAGCTGAAATAAGTTCAAAATGAATCGTTTCTTTTTTTAAATCTTTATTACGAAAAATGTGAAAAGGAAAAAATAATTGGATGAAATACGAAAAAAAGTAATTTGAACGTGGCTAAAATATACGTGTAAAGCGTATTTATTGGACCTTTTTTTTTGCATAAAAAGTTTTTTTATGAAAAATTTCAAAAATCTGTCCGCGGGCCGAAATTTTCCGGAATTGTGTGGCCTATACCAAACGTATGTGCAAAGTTTGAAAAAAATCAGAGCCTCCGACTTGGAGCACTCTCATTGTCGTTTTTATCTACAAAATATCGACATACTATATGTATTGTCCCCAAATATAATATTTATGTGGTAAGCAGCCAAATCCAAAAAATAATTACAATATTGTAATTGCAGTTCGTCTGAAAATACCCCAAAGTCCCAATATGAAAATCCAAAGCTGATCTCCTAAGGCGATGAGAGCCATCTTTTCCAAATAGCAATTACAGAAAATGGACGACTTTTGGGATTTTTTGACCAAAAAAAGCTTTTAATCAAAAGATTGGAGAAAAGAATTTTTGGAAAATATCATGAGAGTGTTGATTTAACAATTCTGTTTATTATGTAAAGTAATTAAAAAAATTTTCGGCCGTTTTTTTGGGCGAACAAGGGAAGTGCCCCAAGTACGACGCTCAGATTTTTTCAAAATTTTGCGCATATGTTTTTTCCGATCCACGAGGTGACATTTTATACGAGAAAACCTTTTCTTACTTACAGTGAAATTTTATACGATCAAAAATGTTTCGTCGTATAAAATGGTATCTCCGTTAAATTTTGCAAAAATAAGTTAAATGGGCAGCTAATCAATCCCTGAGAATGTTAGCTTGCAATGTGAAGGGGCAGTCGAGATAATCAACGATCATTGCCGCCGAGAGATCACGCTAAATGCGGAGAGCGGTCAGAGAGAAAAGAACTTTTTGGCCATAACTTTGCTAGTTTTGTGCGGAAAAATTTTATTTTTTGTGGAGACATTGATAGAAACAGGCATGAGACTTTTCGTGCCAAAATTCGAGCAAAAATTGTCAAATTTTTTCCAACTTTCGGTCTTAAAATCTCGTTTTATTAAAATCTGAGCGTCACATTTGGGGCACTCCCTCTGTAAAATCAAGATAAAAATTGAAAAATCTCATTTTTTAGCAAAAATTTTTTTTTTTCCGAAAAAAGCCAAATTTGTCTACAATAACAGCTAAAAAAGTCCTAAATATGACTTCAACGCCCTTTATAGCCCCCAAAAATCTCCTTGTCCATTAAAAAATGGCCCACGAATCGCCCGTAAAACGCGAATTTAATCCCGAAAAAGCGTGGATGTAGGTGTAAAAATGGCGGCTGTCTTTCGCAAAAAAAAAGTCTGGGAATTACCCAAAACTGGGAGTTAATCTGCCCTCCGGAAAAAGGCTTTCGACGAACGAAAAGTGCGGGCTATCTGTTCGTGACGTTTTTTGTTCATTTGAGGTGGGATTCCTCGGGTTCGGCGAGAGTTTCGAAGGTGAGAAAAAGAGATAGAAAGAGGAGAAAGTATAAAGTAAATTTTTGGAAACATACGGAGAATGTGGGTGTTGTTTTCGACTGGAAATGGGCCAAATTTGGGGGAAAAAATTTTGAAATATTTTTTGAATTTATTTTGTTATACGTTGATGTAGAGCATTCAGATTGACGTAAAATTTTGCATGATGCTTCTTTACTAGGATTATATCCTTCCCTAAAAGTTTTATCTTATGATTTCCCTCGGTAGCCTAGATATTCAACAATCTTTCGAGAGACCACGCGGAGTGAGAGCGGCCAAAGAAAACCGCTTTTTGACTATATCCTTGCCAGTTTGGCGCAGAAGAAATCTGATGTTTTTGTGGAAAGATTGCCTTCTGCAACAGAAACAGGCTCAATTTTGACAAAATTTGACAAAAACCATTTTATACGACAAAACATGTTCGGAAAGGTTTCGTCGTATAAAATGTCTCAAAAGGTTTTTTTTTTAATATCTCGGATGCTCCTGCAAGACGTAAGCTAAAATTTATAAAAAATGACAGAGTGCTCATTATTTTCCCGACAAATTGACGTCATTTTTCAATGAGAAGTTAATTTTTCTGACGCAAATATTTTTGATTTTTTTTTATTTTTCTTTTACAGAGTTTTTAAAATACGAGCGTTGCCAATGCATTTTTCATAAATTTTATTTAGAATTATCCATTTGCGACTTTAAAGTATTCGGGGAAATCGATTAGCCCGTCCTTATCGCCATCCATCTCTTCCAGGACGGGATCGATCATCCGTTCGATGTCTTCGTCCGGAATGGCACGCCCAAATCCGGTGCCATCTTCGTCATCGTTGTGGAAAATCGCCTAAAATTACGAAAAAATAATAAAAATAATAGGTAATGTAAACAAAAAATATGAACATTTTACCCCCATTAACTCCAATCCGTCGATGAAACCATCTTTGTTTAGATCGTGCATGTTAAAATAATGGAAGCGCTGCTTCTCCTCCGACATTTTCTCATTCTCCATGTCGATCTGCTGGCCCAGATGGTGCTTTATGTGACTGAAAAAAAGTAATTATAAATAAATATATACCTAAATAAAGTTTTTCTTTTGTTAGCAATATGTAATGCTAACAAAAGGTTATCAATTTGTGAAAAATTTAGAATTAGGTTTTAGAAAACATTAACAGGGAAAGTACTCCAAGTGCGACGCTTAGATTTTGATGAAACGTGGCACAAATTTAGAACATTTTTTTCTAAGATGTATGCGAGAATCCTAGCTCGCGCTTTGCGGAAACAACCAAGATTTTTAGATCGAAAGTTGGCGAAAATTTAGGATTTTTTGCCGAATTTCGGGACGAAAAGTTTCATGCCTATTTCTATCATAGAGGGTAATGTTTCCACAAAAAATCAATTTTTTCCGCGCGAAACTGCCAAAGTTATTGCCAAAAAGCGCTTTTCTCCCTGACCGCTCTCCACGTTTAGCGTGCTCTCTCGGCGGCAAAAATCGTTCGATATCTCGGCGACGCCCGCAAAGCGCGAGCTAAAACTTTGAGGAATTGATATTTAGTCCATGCCCTACGTGTGTGCAGAATTTAAAGAAAATCTGAGCGTCGCACTTGGAGTACTTCCCCTGTAAGTTAAAACGCGTTTTATTACAAATCGTAGTTTGGCCCGGACATTGTTAAAATCGGTGTCTCAGAATTTAACGAAACTTGGTCAATCTAATCAGCACTAGACATAGAACATTCGCTTTCTTTGTTTTTGCCCAAAATTACCGTATGACGGATTACTGTAACTTTCTTCCCCAAAAAAGATGTGCCCTGATCGAGAAAACGAAGCTCAGTTTTAGTGCAAATCGAGTTTAGGTGTATGTTTTCGACCATGTAGAACATTTTTGTAATTATCACCAAAAACTAAAAATTACATCTAAGCTATGTTACACTTGAGGCAACATACCATTTCGGGTGTAAAAAATGCAGTTTTGAGGTGACGCAGATTTTGAAACCGGAATATTAAACTTCAATTCTTGTCTAATAAACCATAAAAATTTCAGAAAAATCAAATGTATAGTTTTTGAGAAATTGGACATTGAATGACTCATGTGCAATATCACCTTGACCCGAAAAAAACTGGCATTCTTGGGGTTTTGACCTGACGCAGATTTTGAAAGTTTCCAATACATTTTTATCACATTTTAGGAGGATATGGAAAGTTTCAGAGGAAAAAAATGTATAGTTTTTGAGAAATCGGCCAAAATACCTTGTTTTAGGTCATCAGATGCCCGAAAAAAACTGGCATTCTTGGGGTTTTGACCTGACGCAGATTTTAAAAGTTTCCAATACATTTTTATCACATTATAGGAGGATTAGGAAAGTTTCAGAGGAAAAAAATGTAGTTTTTGAGAAATCGGCCAAAATACCTTGTTTTAGGTCATCAGATGCCCGAAAAAACTGGCATTCTTGGGGTTTTGACCTGACGCAGATTTTAAAAGTTTCCAATACATTTTTATCACATTATAGGAGGATTTGGAAAGTTTCAGAGGAAAAAAATGTATAGTTTTTGAGAAATCGGCCGAAATACCTTGTTTTAGGTCATCAGATGCCCGAAAAAAACTGGCATTCTTGGGGTTTTGACCTGACGCAGATTTTGAAAGTTTCCAATACATTTTTATCACATTATAGGAGGATTTGGAAAGTTTCAGAGGAAAAAAATGTATAGTTTTTGAGAAATCGGCCGAAATACCTTGTTTTAGGTCATCAGATGCCCGAAAAAAACTGGCATTCTTGGGGTTTTGACCTGACGCAGATTTTGAAAGTTTCCAATACATTTTTATCACATTATAGGAGGATTTGGAAAGTTTCAGAGGAAAAAAATGTATAGTTTTTGAGAAATCGGCCAAAATACCTTGTTTTAGGTCATCAGAACACAGAATCGTAGCCATCGGCTTACATTTGACAAAAGTTTTGCAGAGAGCTTGAATTTATTAGTGACAATTTGGAGAAAAAAACAGTAACACGCATATATCTCGGAAAAAAAGAGATGCCGAAGAAAATTGGTCGAATTTTCCAGCAACTTGACCTATAACAGGTTCACCTTGGTCGATATCTCAAAAACTATTCATTGTTTTCCTCTGAAACTTTCCAAATCCTCCTATAATGTGATAAAAATGTATTGGAAACTTTTAAAATCTGCGTCAGGTCAAAACCCCAAGAATGCCAGTTTTTTTCGGGAATCTGATGACCTAAAACAAGGTATTTTGGCCGATTTCTCAAAAACTATATATTTTTTTCCTCTGAAACTTTCCAAATCCTCCTATAATGTGATAAAAATGTATTGGAAACTTTCAAAATCTGCGTCAGGTCAAAACCCCAAGAATGCCAGTTTTTTTCGGGCATCTGATGACCTAAAACAAGGTATTTCGGCCGATTTCTCAAAAACTATACATTTTTTCCTCTGAAACTTTCCAAATCCTCCTATAATGTGATAAAAATGTATTGGAAACTTTCAAAATCTGCGTCAGGTCAAAACCCCAAGAATGCCAGTTTTTTTCGGGCATCTGATGACCTAAAACAAGGTATTTCGGCCGATTTCTCAAAAACTATACATTTTTTTCCTCTGAAACTTTCCAAATCCTCCTATAATGTGATAAAAATGTATTGGAAACTTTTAAAATCTGCGTCAGGTCAAAACCCCAAGAATGCCAGTTTTTTTCGGGCATCTGATGACCTAAAACAAGGTATTTTGGCCGATTTCTCAAAAACTATACATTTTTTTCCTCTGAAACTTTCCATATCCTCCTAAAATGTGATAAAAATGTATTGGAAACTTTCAAAATCTGCGTCAGGTCAAAACCCCAAGAATGCCAGTTTTTTTTCGGGTCAAGGTGATATTGCACATGAGTCATTCAATGTCCAATTTCTCAAAAACTATACATTTGATTTTTCTGAAATTTTTATGGTTTATTAGACAAGGCTTGAAGTTTAATATTCCGGTTTCAAAATCTGCGTCACCTCAAAACTGCATTTTTTACACCCGAAATGGTATGTTGCCTCAAGTGTAACATAGCTTAGATGTAATTTTTAGTTTTTGGTGATAATTACAAAAATGTTCTACATGGTCGAAAACATACACCTAAACTCGATTTGCACTAAAACTGAGCTTCGTTTTCTCGATCAGGGCAGATCTTTTTTGGGGAAGAAAGTTACAGTAATCCGTCATACGGTAATTTTGGGCAAAAACAAAGAAAGCGAATGTTCTATGTCTAGTGCTGATTAGATTGACCAAGTTTCGTTAAATTCTGAGACACCGATTTTAACAATGTCCGCCCCCTGTTAGGCTAAGCCCCAAAGTGTGGCAAAACGCGTTTTAAATTTGTGCCAAGTTTCATTAAAATTGAGCGTCATACTTTTCGCTTCTCCTGAATTGCCTGTATGCCAGCTTATCAGCAATAAACTTTACGTCAAAGAACTCTTCGCTTGAGAGTCATACATAGGTGAAATTGAAACTTACTCAACATCAGCGATTTCATCTTTGGACCCGAATTTGTGCCCCTTTTGGCCCGCTGAAAGTTTGGTATTACTACTTTTTTTACATTACGGAATATCTCCGTCTTACCATCCGCATTTATTACTTCAACAACGAGAATTGTAATTAAAAATAAACGCTTTAGCATACTAAAAAACTATGCTAAATCTAATAATTGAATAGGCAAATAAAAACACTGAATAAATTAGAGGCTTTTTTCGAATACAAAGCGAAGGAGGGCTGAACGTCCAAACTGCAGAGACGTCGCCATCTTAAGCATACGTGTCTTATCAGTTTGCTGGAATGGAGAGCTCACATTACGGGAAAATATCGGAATAATATAATAACAGAGCGTTGCATTGATTAATAGAATAGGTTACTCGACCGAGATATTTTATATATATAATTGCATAGCGTCCACAGAAATTTTCAAGGAATCGAAAGACTTGATTTTACAAAGGAAGGGTTACTAGTGCGACGCACGTCAAACTGAGGAGTCCGGTGACCGGAATAGACTCTTCGCTATCGGGTTTTTACATTTCGTCTTGATTTCCAGAGAAAGAGAAAAAAGACACGCAAAAGCGTACTCTCTCGCTCCAAAAACTCCCCATTTCTTCCCCGACAAAACGTTTTTTCGCGTCTTTTTTGGCAAATTGCCAATCCATTCACCGGACTGTTTTAGCTTATCTCAGTTTGACGTGCGACGCTTCAGAATACATTGTGACGAAAGTGGCTAAACCTATCTTTACAATCTTCTTGGCCGTCTCTACAAGGCAAAGTCCGAAGCTGAAGAAAGCATACACTGGTTACATAAGCCCCTATTCTCCAACTTTTCGCTTTCGGCGAAGAACTCTCGAAGTACATCGAAAGGACGAGGGAGGACGGTGTGTGCATGTGCGTGGAACAAGGGCGACGCCTGAGATTTTCAATGCTGTTTTGAAGGAACCTGTAGCAACGCTGGTCCGTTAGTGCATAAGCTTTGTTCGTCGCTGCACCGATCACGTTACTGAGGTGAAAAGTAGTGCCTAGTCTACGGGAGGTAGAGGGCAGCTTGGAGAGATCAACGGGGAATAAGACCCGGATCGAGTAATAATGCCAACTGGGATATAGCAAGTATATTCATCCAGCAAACGTCACAATAGCACACAATACAACAACAACAACGTGGATGGTCTCGGGTAGTCGGAGGAGGACGAGGGAGTCGACCGTCCACCGAGCCGGAGAGTCCAATTGAATGAATGAGATCCACCGATCGGAGCGAAGTCGAGCGGTCGGAACGGATTGTCACGTGGAGCGGTTGATCATCGGAAACTCGGGGAATCGGTCGAGAATAGTTCGACTTGACGGACCATCGGGGTGCCGCTGGTCATACTGAAAAGCAATTTGATTTTGCTCCGACACTATTCATTTTCTCGGCGACAATGCAATTTTAGATTAACAAAGCGCTCGCTATTTCCCGACGGCCTGATAATAAAAAAAAGACTTCCCCTGTTAATTCAAATGCCTCTTTTTGTAATCTTGTCTCAAGAAATCTTTCGGAAATCCCCTCAAAAAACCCGCATTTTCCGAAACGTTTTGCGACTTCAAACAATACCGCCCATTAGCCACCAGCAGTGTCATTGATCGCCTATTGTAACCAGTTTTTTGCTTCTTTTCCAAACAAATTCTTTTTTGTTTTTTGGAAATTGATCTGTTCCAGAAACCTTTCTTCGATCCACAAATTTCATTCAGGATATTCTTTATTCGAAAAATCCCCATTTTTTGTTTTCGAGAAACAAATTTTGATTTTGTTCGCTTCAAAAAAAAGTTCCGAGTGAAAACATTTTAGCCGGAATTCATTCCTTCAGGGTGATTTAATTTTTCGCCTCCGGCGCCGAGATCGGAATTTTTATTTTGCAGCGATTTTGACGACTTTGAACGAGGCGACGAAGCTCTCTTTGGCGGTGAAATTTTTTAGGAAGTGGGGTGGATTTGTAAAAAAAATATCTGTGTATGTTTGTAAAAATTTTAGTATAGTAAAACCTCGGTGTAATGAATCGAAAAGGGATCAAGACAAATATTTTTCTATACTGTCAGTATTTAACCGTGACTCCCAACTTTTTGCTTGCTTGTCCAATTTCGGATGATATTAGGCAAATGTTTAAAAAATCCGTATTCTCCCTAGACCAACATTCCGATCACATGAAATTGATCTTTTTATCAGTCTGTCGGGAAAATTATGTGGATTTGGTCACATTATTTTCCCGCGAAATGTCTCGCCTTGTGGCGTTCTATTTTTTATTTCGACAGTATTGTCGATTTTTGAATTTTGAAATTTTTATAATTTTAAAAATTTTTGTGGATTTGTCTTGGAATATTCTTAAAAATTGTGGAGTTTTTTCCGAAAAACGCTATATTTTTTTGCAAGGCGTGTACGAAATTTTTTTATGACTTCAAAAATTTCTTTAAAGAATTTCTGTCTAAATTTTAAACATGATTTTTTTTTTTTTTTTTTTTTTAATTTCATTTTCAGATTTTTTTTTTTATCTTTTTTAATGACTTAATATTCCATAAAAACCCATTTCAAGACAGCTACTTTTCCCCTCATTGCATTGACCCTCATTACCTCAACGTTTTTCGATTTTTTCGAATCAAAATTGCAATTAGACGCGTCTGCGGCGCATCGCGAAACCCAAGAGAAATATTACTTTAGATCTCGAACAATGAGCGAAATGAGTTTAAGGGCTCCTCCACCGAGGAATTGAGGCCGTTTCGAGGGCGATTTCCGAAGGCCATCCGGCGCGTTTTCGGCTCGATTTATGCACTCCGCAAAGGTGGCAATTGCCCGGAATGACGGGGCTTCGAAACGTCTTGTTTTGGGGCTGGAAATGCGACTTGTTTTGGGAGCGGGAAATCCGGTTTGTTGGATGAGGGCTGACCTTATTGTTTCGGTGATTAGCAGCTAATTTGCGGGGAGATTAAGAACGTTTTTGTACAGTGCAAAAGAGTAAAAATTTGAAAAATAAAAAAATAAAAATTTTGATGAAATTTAAGAAAAAGTTTTTAGAATAGTCTTTTTTATGAAATTTTTGAGATTTTTAAATCGCGTTTTGCAGAAAAATCAAGGTTTTTAGATCGAAAATTGCGAAAGAATTTCTCAAAAAAAAATTTTTCTTAAGATTTCTTTCAAAATTTTGCTGATTTGTTCTGTCTAAGCCACAGATGAACCCCAAAAAATTTTATGTCATCCACTGCAAGCGTACCCTAGATATTCAACGTTCTTTGCGGACGAGAGAGTGCAACAAAAGCCGCGGTTAGAGCGCGAGCCGGAAAAATAGCTCATGCTTTGTAGAAACGACCGAGATTTTTAAGCCAAATTTGATGAAAATGTAGCGCTTTTGTACGTATTTTTAAAGTTATAATACATACCCATTTTCTACCGTTGAGCGTAGTGTTTCCACAAGAAAATCAATTTTTTATTCCGAAGTGCGCCCTATAAAAAAATATTTTTATATGCACTTTTTCTACATACCGTAGAGAGTAATATTTCCACAAAAAATCAATTTTTCCGCGAGAAATTGACAGAGATACAGCCAAAAAGTGGTTTTTTCTGACCGCCCTCCGCATTTCGCATGCTCTCTCGGCCGCAAAGATCGTTCAATATCTCGGCTCTCCCTAAAAAGCGCAAGCTAAAATTCTCAGGAATTGATGAGTGTACTATGCCCTTCGTATGTTCATAATTTCAGGAAAATCTGTGCATCGCACTTTGAACACTTGTTGGTTTTTATTTCCCCAAAATTTCCTCTCAAACGCTCCTCCAAAAGCTCGATGGGGCGTTGATAATTGGCAATATTTCCTGTTCAAACACGCACTTTAAGAAGAACATCGCTGAAATTTTATTTTCTTTTCTCTCTGTTCCACAGCGGCGAACATCATAATTGCGGGGGGTTTTTTTTTGAAGTGAGGAAGGTGATCCTACTATACTCGCTCACCTTATTACCTGGTTCGGAAAAGAATGAATTGTTCCGTCAAAGTAATTGGAGATGATGTAATGAATATTGCGTGAAGTATTAGGCGGATTAAAGTGATGTTGGGTTCAACAAAGGGATCTTTTTAACTGTTTTATGCGATTTTTCAACCGTTTAGGGGAAGTGCTCCGCGTGAGACGCTCAGATTTTGATGACGTTTGGTATAAATTTACAGGGGAAGTACTTCAAGTGCGACGCTCAGATTTTCTTTAAATTTTGCACACACGTCGGGTATGGACTAAATATCAATTCCTGAAAGTTTTGGCTCGCGCTTTGCGGGCGCCGCCGAGATATCGAACGAGTTTTGCCGCCGAGAGAGCACGCTAAACGTGGAGAGCGGTCAGAGAGAAAACACTTTTTTGGCCATAACTTTGGCAGTTTCGCGCGGAAAAATTTGATTTTTTGTAGAAAAATTACTCTTTAAGATTGAAATAGGCATGAAACTTTTCGTGCCGAAATTCGGCAAAAGGTCTTAAATTTTCGCCGACTTTCGATCTAAAAATCTCGGTTGTTTCTGCAAAGCGCGAAATAAGATTCTCGCATATATCTTAGAAAAAATTATTCTAAATTTGTGCCAAGTTTCATCAAAATCTGAGCGTCGCACTTGGAGTACTTCCCCAGGATATTTTTTTGCTCACAAGGCGAATATTTCCTCACTCCTTACCAAGTGTGAGCGTTTTCAGTCTGTCGGGCAAATAATGTGGACTCGTCGCGCCTTTTAGTCGCCCATCTCGACGGCTTGCCGCAGCTGCGACTTTGGAGCGCGACTGCAACGAGGCGATACATTTTGCAGCGACAAATCCACATTATTTTCCCGACAGATTGATATTTTTTCGCCGAAAAAATGGATTGTATCGCGACAAAATTAAACTGCTTTTCACTTCAGAGACCGGTGCAGTGACAATCCAGCAACAAATCAATTTTTTCCCTGCAAAACAAGCAAAGATTTGGTCAAAAAAGTACTTTTTTCTCTCACCGCTCTCTGACTTCTTTGTGTAGTCTTTCAGCCGCAAAGGTTGTTGAATATCTCGGCTGCGCTTGCAAAGCGCAAGCAAAATTTTCAATATTTATAATAAAGATGCAATGACGGACCTGATTTAATGTAAAAAACGTTCCATTTTGTATCGGGGAAGTATAAAAAAAGTGGCAAAATGCCTCCATGTGTAACTAAAAGAACTCCGTTTTTAAAGGCTCTCACAAAACAGAGCGGGCGGACTTTTGAAATCGGAGTTTTTTCACTTGAAAAGGGAGGTATTTTGCTGCATTTTTTATGCTTCCCCGATGCAAAATGGTATGTTTTTTGCCAGTGGATAAGGTCCGTCACTGTATGTATAATATGTTTCCTATCCGTATGTAAATTTTAAATAAGATCTGCTCGTCGAATTGCTGACTATCCCCTTTGTAAAAAAGACGTTTGCGCGACGATTAATCCAATTAGAAAATTTCCATAATTCTGTTTCAGATTGATGCCTTCTCCCTGTTGATTTCTCCCTTGCTACGATGCCGAGATCCGGGCATTATTGTGAGCGCTTGACGCTCATCTTGATCCTCTTCAATTTGTTGCTCAATGTCTCATTTGCGGCGCGAAAAAACTCGACAATCATAAACTGGGAGCAAAAAACGACGGCGCGTCCCAAGGCGAGGAGTTTGAATCAGGTATATAATTCTACACAGAACTGTGAATGGCGTACTTTACCAACCGATTTGATTGATTTCAGCTGGACACCTTGATCTCCATGTGTTATCGGTCGGTTTGCAAGGACTGGGTGGACGAATGCCATTGGTTCTGCGAGCAGATCAAGGGAAAGGTAGGACAAATAGGGAGCATATTATACATACAGTGGCGGACCTTATCCACTGGCAAAAAACGTACCATTTTGCATCCGAGAAGCATCAAAGATGCGGCAAAATACCTCCATCTATAAGTGAAAAAACTCCGATTTCAAAAGCGCACCCGCTCTTTTTTTGTGAGAGCCCTTCAAAACGGAGTTCTTTTAGTTGGAGAGGGAGGCATTTTGCCGCATTTTTTATACCTCCCGGATGCAAGATGGAACGTTTTTTATACTAGATCAGGTCCGTCACTGTATCTTTATTGAGTTTTGAGTGTTGAGAAGGAGATAGTTGAAAATACGCCTCCATATGACGTTCGGTCGAAATTATTATTGTCTGGAAAATAATGTGCCCTCTGTCGCATCAAAAAAAGCTTCGCCGCCGAGAAAATGAATTGGTTTCCGGCTCAACGCGACTGGAGATTTAGTGCGATGAGGCGGGATATTTTGCTGCCACAAATCCACATTATTTTCCCGACAGACTGATAAAACATCTTATCAGTCTGTCGGGAAAATAATGAACACTGTTGCATCGAAAATCGCGCTTCGCCGCCGAGTAAATGAATTGTGTCGCTACAAAACAAAATTGCTTTTTACTTCAGCAACGCGATCAGCGCAGCGACATTGTTCTCATTATTTTTACTGCGCATGGCGCGCAAAAAAACGCACTGTGCAAATTATTACTTTCATAAAATGCATGGACATTTATCGTGGCCCGCACTGTGCACAAAAATCCCGTACTTTTGCACCGTGCATTTGCTTTTTTGGGTTTGCACGGTTGAAAAATTGAAAAATTCCATTGTGTCGGCGTTTGCACCGCGTAGAAAAAGTCAGGAGACCCAAAAAAGCCTATTGCACGGTGCAAAGCGGGCATTTATTTCCGCACAGTGCATGTCGCTAAAATCACTCCAGCGACTTTACGAACTGTGTCAGGACTTCTAGTCGCTGGTCGAAGAAGCCTAGGGATGGTCTTGGGATTTTATAACAGTAATAGCAATATTTCAGAATGGCTACTGGCGTTGCATGGAGTGTCTGTCGAACCGAGGTCAACACTGTTTCGACTGCTTCGAGCTCTAGCTTTATTTGCTCCATTTCTCTTTTGCTTTACTCTGAAGTCATCAAAATAGCCTGCCAATTACTTCTTCATACCTAATAATCATCCTACACCTTAGGCTATTACGCAGTGGCAGGCGTGATCCAGTGGCAAAAAACGTATCATTTAGCATCCGGGAAGTATCAAAAAGTGTGGCAAAATACCTCCCTCTCCAAGTGAAAAACTCCAGTTTCAAAAGCCAATCCGTCCTTTTTTGTGAGAGCTCTTGAAAACGGAGATTTTTTAGTTGGAGAAGGAGGTATTTTACCACATTTTTTGACACTTCCCGGATGCAAAATGGTACGTTTTTTGCCACTGGATCACGTCCGCCACTGTATATTTTTCCTCAAAATAATATTAAATTTTTCACTCATATTGTCACTTCCCTCTCTTCATATCGGTTTATTTACAACAACAAATAAATTATAACACCAATGAGTCGGTAATGTTCCCGTGAATGAATAGTATTCGAGTATTTGTTTTTGAGGTAAATACCATGGATAATGTAATGGCAAAGGAAGGTAGGGGAATTTACAATGGGAATAATGAGAGTTTGGAGCGTCCCATAGGGCTGAATTCTTTCGGGTTTTTCCGGAAAGAATGATATAAATTTCGAAAAAATGGATTAAAAAAGTATCTTAGAAACTACTAACAATAAAACAAGGTAAATGCCCAAAGTTACGACGCTCAGATTTTGGTGAAACTTGACGTAAATTTAGAACACAACTTTTTAAGCCAAATGCAAGACTTTTAGCTCGCCCTGCGCAAAAAACCACCGAGATTTTTTGGTCTTAATTTGGCTAAAATTTCACATTTTTTCGCGAATTTTATCACGGAAAATTTCGTGCTTATTTCTATAGTAGACAATAACATTTCCACAAAAAATCAAATCTTTCCGCGCGAAACTGGCAAACATATGGCCAAAAACCGCTTTTCGCTCTGTCTCTCCGCACTTTGCGTACTCTCTCGGCGACAAAGATCGTTGAATATCTCGACTGCCCCTTCACATTGTAAGCTAAAATTTTCAAGGACTGATAAGAGGCCCATTTGACTTATTTTCGCAAAATTTAACGAAGATACCATTTTATACGATGAAACATTTTTGATCGTATAAAATGTCACTTTTAATAAAAACAGGCTTTGTCGTATAAAATGTCACCTTGTGGATTGAAAATGATGTGGGGTAAAATTTAAAGGAAATCTGAGCGTCGCACTTGAGACATTTAGCTTGTAAATCAAAGCTACTGTAATCTTATAAAATGCATCCACTCTACAGTGAATATAACAAGAAAATCCTCTCTAAATAAGATTTTTTGTCTAAAAAAGACCTCTTTCCGACTACACACTCATCAAATCGCCCATCACGTTCCTCAAACTGCCTTGATTCACATTGCAATTGTCGGCGCTGGCGCAACAGCACACCACCTTGTCGCCGTCGCTGACGCAGCCGTCGAACAGTTGGAAGAGGTCGCAGACCTGCGAGAAGTCGCACCCGAACACCGAGTTCTTGGTCGACGTCGAGTTCATGCATTGGCGTTCGGCGCAGTCCACCGAGCCGGCCGCCACCGAGTCCACGCCGGTGTGGCACTTCAGCGCCACAACGGCGACCACGGAGAGGTAAACGGCAAGGAGGAAGGTGAGTCTGGTGAACATGTTGAGGGAGATTTGGGGCTTGGGTTAGCTTGCCAGGATGCTGAAAATGGAGGAGGCGTTAAATTTTCTGTAAAGTCGCTAAAAGCATCGCGGATAAATTACTTTTACTAGTCTGTCGGGAAAATAATGAGCACAATGTCGCTGAGCCAATCGCGTCGCTGAAATGAAAAGCAAGATTTTTTCGCGACAATTCATTTTCTCGACGGCGAAGCGATTTTCGATGCGACAGAGTGCTTATTATTTTCCCGACAGACTGATACGATGACTTATCAGTTTGTCGGGAAAATAATGAGCGCTCTGTAGCTGCGAAAATCGCATCCCCGCCGAGAAATTTTGCTTCCACAAATCCACATTATTTTCCCGACAGACTGATACGATGAGACTTATCAGTTTGTCGGGAAAATAATAAGCGCTTTGTCTCAGCGAAAATCGTATCGCCGCCGAGAAAATGAATTGTGTCGCAGCAAAATCAAACTGTTTTTCACGTTGGCGATCGGCGCAGTGAAATTATGTCCATTATTTTCCCGACAGACTGATACGATGATTTATCAGTCTGTCGGGAAAATAATGTAGATTTGTGGCAGCAAAACTTCTCGTCTCATCCAGAAAATCTCGAAATTTTCCGTTCGTAAAGTCGTTAGAGTGATTTTCGCGACATGCACTGTTCAAAAACAAAACTTCACTTTTCACTGTGCAATTTCTTGCTTTTTCACCGCGCAAATGGCTTTCTTGGGCTGTCGCTCGCACCCTGAGTTTTCATGCCCAGTGCAAACTCCAAAAATTACTCCAACGACTTTGCGAACGGACTATTCATAGAGCAAGTAAATTTTTTTGACATTTCTCTCCCGACCCGCAAAAAAAAGCGGCTCAAAAGTAGTTGCACTGACCCTTTAAAGATGGTAAACTAGAAAAGAGAAAACAAGAAAGTGGAAAACAATTTTCTCTTTTAAAAATAGCTCGTATTTTTGTGGGGGGAAAGTGTTTACCAAAAAAAGCAAGAAAATATCCGTCACCAGAGTGTTTACGGTAAAAGAATATAGCTAATAATAGTAAAGAAAAAATGGTTTATAGAGCAGTACGGTGGAGTTTTTTCTTGTCGGTAGAAGCAACAAGAAAAAAAGTATGTCGAGGAACAAGGTATCGGTCTGTCGGGGAAATAATAAGCACTCTGTCGCATCGAAAATCGCATCGCCGCAGAGAAAATGAATTGTGCAAAATATCAAATTGCTTTTCACTTTTTGTGACGCAATTGTGCTCATTATTTTCCCGACAGAAACTAGTTTTAAAACAAGATTTTTCTGGCCATCATTTCTCAAAAATTGTAGCCTACGTGCAAAATTCACGGTGTGTAAGAGAAGAAAAGGTAAATGCACAGTGCGCCGCGACAAAAAGCCCGCGCAATTTTGCAGCAGCGCCGTAACATAACATATAAACATCCCTGCTTTACGTATCTTGCAGCCAGAAACAAGCTATATATGCCCCGCATTTGCTCCCTCCCACCTGTTTCTCAAGCGACTCATCACCTTGAGTCATCAAAACAACGGAAGCGAGAGAGAAAAAAGCGTTGATCTATTTTGATCAGTGAACAGAAATGGGGTGATTTTACTGTGGGAAACATGTTAATGAGTACTTTGAAGGTGTGAACGGGAATTCCCGGAAATTTGGGGGTTCCCTCTCTATTCTCAAATTATACGTTTTTTTGAAAATTCAACGGACTGCCGAACATCAAAACCTCTACAGTGAGGGACCGGATCCAATGGCAAAGAACGTCTCACTTTGCATCCCGGAAGGGACCAAAATGTCTCCAAACCCTCCCCTTCTCTAACAATTGTAAGCTAAAAAACCCCGCTTTGAAGAGCCCGCCTTGAAGGAATGGGCGCGCTTTTCAAAGCGGAGTTTTTTAGCTTAGAGAAGGGAAGGGTTTGGAGTCATTTTGGTCCCTTCCGGGATGCAAAATGAGACGTTTTTGCCATTGGATCAGGTCAATTTTAGGTCAAAATGAACCTCTGTACAACGAAACCCCCTATGACAAACTAAATTTTGGTTTCTTGTACAAAGCTTTGACTTTATAAGCAATAAAGCTCCGCCGTGACAATTCATGGAAAGTATCGGCTAAAACAAACGCAAAACTTCCTCGCCAGCCGATAAAATAAAACTCCCACAACAATAAAACTTGTCTTCATGTATGAAACGAACGACTTATCTTCAAAATCACGTCTCATCTCCGAAACCCTACCGAAACGAACTCTTATATAGTTTCCCTGCCCTAAAGACCTCTTCCAATCCCTCCGAAACGGAAGAATAACACATTTCCCAACATTTGCAGACCCACAGTACATTGTTATTGCAATTTTAGCGCAACAAACATCGGGCCGAAATTTGTTTTTCCTCCCCGAAACACACGTGCTCCGGGAGGGCCGGAGCACATTTACGAGCAGCGAACGGAATGGGAAAACATTTTTTTCTCCCTCTCCTTCTTTTAGATGATCTCTCACTTCGCTTTCGCTGGGGAACGCGGGGACCCAATATGCCCTGAGGGGTCGAAATTTGATAAAGAAATTTTTTGGGGGAACAAAAAATTTGTTTTTATTAGAAAATCGAAAAAATAGTGAAAATAAAAAAAAATTTTTTTTGGGGTTGATAAAGCGAGCTTTCCCAACGCTTAATTAATGGGATTAAAAAATAACAACAGGCAATAAAATTTATCAAATTCCGAGAGAAAAATGAGACAAATGGAATTGGAGAAATCCGGGGATTACGAAAATGGAAATGAGGGAAAATAACACTGTGAAACTTGATACAAGTCACAAAATTGGTCAAAAATTGATTTTTAGATAGAAAAAGTCTACAAAACTGATTACTTTTGGCGAAAAGAAAGTGAAAATGTTGGGGAAATGTGACTACAATGGTCTGAGAACTTTGATCGGAACTCCAAAGAACGAGTTTTTAGCGATCTCGAGTTGGCGAAGCTCAAGACCTCCGGCGTTTTAGACGGAAGTTTTCAATTTTCTGTGACCAAAAGCCTCTTTTTTTAGCGTCAAATACTTATTCATACTTTACGGAACAACTCGTGATCTTCTCAAAGTGTGACTTGAATCTTGAGGAGACATTTTATACGATGAAACTTTTTGAACTTTAAACTTCCGTTTAGAGAGACATTTTATACGATAAAACCTTTTGAACTTTAAGCTTCCGTTTTGAGAGACATTTTATACGATAAAACCTTCTGAACTTTAAACTTCCAAAAACTAGAAATTTTTTATTCCCAAAATTGCGAAAATATGCATTTTTATGAAATTTCGACCAAAAATTTCTATATTTTTTCAATATCTGGCGTATTTCTTACAACATTTTTCTTCAATTTCCATCAAAAACCAAATTTTGTCGGGATTTTTCCTCCAATCTTATCGAGTAATGAACCCGCTAAACTCCCACATGACTGACCAAAATAGCCCCTTATCCCTTTTTTTAACCCCCATTTGCCCCCTTCTGCACTTCAAATCCCCTCCGGACCGATGGGGCTCCACCCCCGGTCCGCAATAACAAATTTTTCTTTTTTTGTTTTTCAAAAATCAGGAGAGAGCGTAAAAAACAAACGCCTTGCACACGCTGCTTTCCGGCCTCTGGCCCGATCTCTTCACATGCGATGGTGAACGGTGATCTTTGGCTATAAATCGAAAAGAAAATGAGAGATGGAAAGGATTGATGATAAAAATAAAGTCGGGAATACTGTAGCAAAAAAAAATTATTGTTTTTTAGCCGTTGTTTCAACCGAAAAAAGGTATCTTCAGCGAAAATTTTGCAAAAAATTTTGAAAAATCGTCAGTTTCGTTTAATTTTTGTCAAATCTTTGACCTAAAAGTCCAACCAGTACGATGCTCCGATCTTCTCGAAATTTTGCACATGTGATGTGTCTAGTCCACTTATCAGTCACTAAAAAAATCAGCTCGCAATTTGCAGAGAGAGCTGAGATATTCAACCATCTATGCCTACGAGAGAGTCCGCGAAATGCGGAGAGCGGTCAGAGAGAAAACACTTTTTGCCCGTATCGCCAATTCTGCGCGGAAAAAATTGATTTTTTGTGGAAATGTCACATTCACCGGTAGAAATAAGACTGAAAGTTTTCATGGAAAAAATTGCAAAAAAAAATTGTCGAATTTTTTCCAAGTTTCGACTTAAAAATCTCGGTTGTTTCTGCAAAGCGCAGCCTAGAAATCTCAGACATTTTTTATAAAATATTACTCTACATTTAGCCAAAGTTTCATTAAAATCTGAGCGTCGCTCTTCGAGCACTTGAATTTTTTCCAAATTTCGGCCAAAAAGTCTCTCTTGTTTTTGCAAAATGCGAAAAATAGATGTCAAAAAATCTCTCTCCAAATTTGCGTCAAGTTTCATCAAAATCTGGCCCTCTCTACCGTAGGTTGTTTATAGTTTTCCCAGTGTTTATCCATGTGGCCGTTGTTTTCGGGGCATAAAAGTGCGTTTGGCAGGACAGGATTGATGACTCAAAAAAAGAATGGAAAAGTCGACTGCAAGCGACTGATCTGTGGTCAGCGATTGCAAAATCAATTTTTTGCAAAACAATGTCCCTCAACGAAACAGAAGAAATGTGAAAATTGGCCGGAAGAAATAAAGGTTCGTCGGGAAAATAATGTGGATTTGTGGCGGAAAGTTTTCTCGCCTGATCGCATTGGCCAGATTTGCAGCAGTGACTAGAAAAGCGAATACTTTAACTTCAATTTTCCAGATACAACCGAAATATTCAACGATCTTTGCATACGTAAAGTATGAAAAAAGGCCGGACAAAAAAATCTTTTTTTTTTGCTAGATCCCGCTGATTAAAAGTTCGACTACATTAACCTCACGCTTGGTTGCAAAAATGTTCGCTATAAAAGACTTGCACTTTTGAAAAAACTCTAGCGATCGTCAACTTTCAGACAAACTAATTAAATTAAATCTGCCCCGAATTTTATTGCAACGAAAGTTGTGAAACTGGAATTACAGCGGTTGGGAGTGCAAAGAACGTTCAAATGTTTGTCAATGAAGATCAAATTTCAGCGATAGAAGTCAACGAACTTATTGATCTATGTGTGCCCAGAAAATGCGTCACGATGACACCCGTTTAAAAAGTGGCAGTGATGTAAACAACGGTTGTATATGGTTAGGACTACTCTCTGGAGCATGCAAAATAATTTTGGGCATCGTAAAGGCGTTTTCAGCGAAAAAATCCGTCATCCAAATTGCGCATTGCAAAAGTTGTGAACTTAAATTTTTTAAGGGGACTCTAGACAGTACTAATAGCCATATAGAGCCGTTGTTTATATCATTGCCACATTTTAAATGCTTGTCATCGTGACATATTTTCTGGACATACAGAGACTCAACGTAGATGACTTCTTGACTAGAGACATGGCAAGGGGGACAAGATTCATCGATCCCGTGACCCGATGCCAGTGCAATTTTACCCATTGGCCCTTTTGAAAAGTTGTCAAAGCCCCATTTGGCCTGGTCCTGATTTTTTTCTTTTTTTTTTACCCAAAGTTTCCATTCGAAGTCATAAATTTTTTAAGGTGGTATAAGGGGGCCAAAAAATTACACCAATCTCCAAGCCCGGCCTCAGTCGGCCCGCCCCACCATCCTCAAAACTTTCCAAAGCCCCAAAACCCCTTCCCAACACCCATGTCTGCCCAACAGAGAAGTCAGATGTTTTATATTGTCATTAAAACACTCAGAAGAGAAGGGCAGACGATTTTTTTCGATAAAATTTCACTAAAAATTCGAAATGTTTTAAAAAATCTGAATAACACCCACCCCTTTTCCCAGTGAGAGAATTCTTCTCTCCGATTCTAGAAATTTCCTCACTCTGTGGTCCATTCTCTCGCCCTCGTTCTTTTTGATATTGAAAAAGAGACCCACTCAACAAAAAATTTTCGCCGCACGGCACGTCAATCCAAAATAGAAGAAAAAATTTCCCGCCCCTTTTTGGTGATTCGTCAAAACGAAATGTCACTATCCGATAAAACGCATTTTCTTATCCTTCTTCTTCCTTTTCGAGAAAAAGCAATTATTTCGGGCGAGAAAAAGTGCCGATAATTTCGCGACATTTCGTCCCTCTTTTAAAACCAATGAAAACGATACGAAGTTTCGAAACGGTTCAGGAAATGCGCTGGATTGACGTGCACGGCCTCTTATTTGGCCAGAAAAGAGTGGAATAGAAGTCCCAAAGGCGTTGTGGGCCAAAAATCAAACATTCGTGCAAGAGGGGACCAAAAATTTGTTTGTCATAAAAGGGTTTCGTTATAGGGAAATCCGACAAGTCTCTTGAGAAATGGAATTTTATCAGTTTGTCGGGAAAATAATGAGCAATTCGCACTGAAATCGCATCGCCGCCGAGAAAAATGAATTGTTTCGCGGCAAAATCAAATTGCTTTTCACTTCAGCGGCGCGACTTGCGCAGCGACAGAGTTGTCATAATTTACCCGACGGACTGATTGACGAATTTTGTTATGGGGATTTGGTTTTTGTTCCATATAAACAAACCTCCAAAGATGTGTTAATAACAAACTAAAAAAGAGATGATTTGACCGCAAAAAGATCGAGTTCATGATGATATTTTTCTATAAAAGATAATATTTAGCGATAACAAAGAAGTTCTGTCAAGATGGAGAGATATTTTTGAGAGTTTGAGCGGTTAGTCATCGATTTTGATAAATAAGAGGTTGCCCAGATAAAATGCTTGAATTTTTTTTAAACTTTGTATGCACGGTCCAAATAGGCCATACATCCATTCCTAAAAATTTTAGCTCGACCTTTTCAGACCTAGCCGAGATATTCAACGGTCTTTGCGGAAGAGACTATCACATTTCCTCCCTCAAAGATCGCTGAATATCTCCGCTGGGCCTGTAAAGATCGAGCTAAAATTTTCGGGAATGAATATGTGACCTATTTGGACCATGCATGCAAAATTTAAAGAAATTTTAAGCGTTTTCTCTGGGCTACCTCATATTTATCAAAATCAATGACTAACCGCCCAAACTCTCAAAGATACCTCTACCTTGACAGAAACATCTTTGTCATCGCTAAATATTAGGGTGTCCCATAAGTCTTGTGTATTTTGGGGTCGTTGACTTGTGCGAATTCCTGTGAGCTTTGTAACGCATTACGAGATATGTTAGACATACGGTTTTGAAGATCAGGAATTGCGCTTTTAAACCGTATATAGCAAGGCTGCAAAAAATCAACCTGCTACCCGCACTACCCCAATATTGTACTAGACATCAAAAAAAAATCTTGCTTGCTGATGTTAAAATGGGTATATACTTTGGAAAATCAGATGTGTACGCCTATTAAACGTGAAAATAGGACGCACAAGAGCCCTAGATGTTATTTTAATTGGCGCTGCAGCACGAGCGGGCGTACCTTGGTGGTGGTGTAAATAACATGATAACTGCTGCACTCATGCTTTTCAAACTCAATTTTCCAATAGTAGAAAGTGTTGGCTGTAGCTGCGTATGGTAGGTAATCTACTGTTGTTTGTGAACACAACGACATAATAATCACAGCCTGTGTCACTTTTGTTTCTTGAAATAAGCTTAATTTAAAAATTTCCTAATTATTTAAAAAATTTACAGAAAATTTTTTAAATTGACTGATTTTTCAGCCCTCAGCACCTCTATTCCAAAATCCTCTTGCTAAAATAAAACACATATGACACTGTTTAGAACACACTACACTACAATGTTATTTGTATCCATACCAACTTTTTTGGTGTTGAATAAATGCACCACATTTTTTCAAATTTTTTTGGGTTAGTGGTGATTCAGAGCATGACAGCCAGCGGATTCATAGTTAGTACGCATGAACGTTATGTTTTTTTCACTCTGGTATCGGCGCGACCTGAGCAACCACCCTCAAAAAATGTTATACGCAAAATTATGTACATCACAATATTCACCATGGTGCCTAATACAAGAAACCTGCAGGACAACGTCATAAGAACAAATTCAGAGGGGAAAACGGTTTATTTAGAAACAGGGTGCTTAGTAGATGTGTTAAAAAATGCAATTGCAAAGGTGCAGCCCCATTTATCAAAAAACGGAATGGTTTTCCCATCCCTTCCCAGAAGTTGATGATATTAAAGAATTTCAAGTATTTTCCCGGAGGGCATGTTATTAGTTAAAGTTTTTATGCTGCTTATAAGTGTAAGAGATGGCGGTTTCAACAATGCCAAACATTAAGGGATGCATTCATTTAGGCCTGCGAAACGAGACTTTAATTCTCAAACCCAAAAATACACAAGACTTATGGGACACCCTAATATTATCTTAAATAGAAAAATATCGTCATAAACTCCAGTCTTTTGCGGTCAAATTTATTGCTCATAACAAATGATTAATCTTATCAGCGAAACTTTCCGATTCAACTCGAAAAGTCACATGGCGCAAAGTGAAGAAAGAATGGGATTTTTCGAACGACCAGTAGTAAGAACGTGATGAATGTGGCGCCCAAAAAGGACAAAGTTTGATATTCCATTTTTACGGCTGGAAATTGATATAAATTTGGATCAAAACTAGCATTTCAAAGGACAACGCAGCTTCAAGGAGTTAGAAATTTGATCTATCAATCATTTATAGCATTGAGAATTGGTATTTCTACAGTAAAAGAACTTTTTAGACATCAATCACTGCGATTGTTGTAAAAAAATAAACTTTGATGTAAAAAAGTCAAAAAACAACTTTGTTTTTGCAAAGAAATCTGTCAAAACAGTAGAAGCCCTAGTGTAAACATCGCGGTTGTTTAAAAAACATCCAAAAACACGTGGTATTTCTGCACCACCTAATTCCGTTCAAGGTTAGATTAATTTGCGAAAAAGAGATTGTAAAGTAATATTGCTGGTCAAAACAAGTGAAACAAGGGGGTAGAAAAGAATCTTTGTTCTGCTGGTAACATAAATGTGCAAGTTTCAAGTCAAAAATCCAAGAAAAACAACAAGTTTTTTGAATTTGGAGATTAGAACCAAGTGTAATATAAAAAACCTCAAAAAGGATAATTTTTAATGAGAATTAATGGAAATAAAGCTTGTTTATGGCCTTTTCCACCCTAATACCCCAACTTTTGAGTCCTACCACGAAAACGTCCAAGACGAAAACTTTGGCATTCTCTTTCATATTGATTTATCTTCTCAAAGCCGGATCTCAGGACATTGCTGAAAGAAATCTTGTTCTCCATCTTTCTAAAAGGTAGGCTTTAGTTTGGCCAGTAATATTTCCAAATTCATCATGTTGTAGATGGCTTTCCGAAAACTTCTCAGAGATCTCGACAGTAGCGAGCTCGACGACAGCGTTTTCAACAACACCACCTCCTCTGAGACTGATTACACCACCTCCTCCGATGTGGTAAGTGCCTTTTCTTACATTGTTTTCTTGTTTTTAGGAGGGTTTGTTTTGTTTGGACATGTATAATATAAATCAAGGAGAAAGTTGATGAAAATGGGTGTAGATCGTAGTGGGTTGGCTTTGAAAATGGATTTTACTGGATGCTTCAGCTGTTGCCAGCTGTTTCGATTCATTTTGAGGAGTATTTTGTGACTAACTCTTGGTCTTGACATTTTTGATGGAAATCATAGATAACATAGAAATTTCCACTGGTATCCTCGAAATGCACGTCTGAAAATCTCTGTTCTGGTTTTACATGTCAGATGTAGGCATTTTACAGCAAACACGGCGTTAAATCACTGAGTTATATACCTATTCATCTAGCTCTGCTATGGTTAACATAAAATTTCCTCATTTCTTGACTAAAATTAAATTTGGGCTGATGAAAAATATATTTTCTGCCTTATTGCATAATCTTTAAGCAATTACCTTCAGGAGAACAGATCATGCACTCCACCGAAGGTCTCTTTGTACAGATGTAGGAAAGTCGCCGTCTCCGAAGAAGACAAAACGCCCTTGGCCAACCAAAGCTTCAATCTTTCGTCGGAAACGTCCAGTCATACTGGTTCACTCTCTACATACATTGGGGAATCCGAGAAGCCGCAGAATCGCATCAGCCCGCAAGGGCATGCACCCCAAAAAAAGACTTCCGTCAATGTCAATGATCTTCATCAAGATTCGATGAACACCTCTTTCGCCTCGAGTATTGGCCGATGTGAGCAGGAGAGCACGGAATTCAAATTCACTTTGTCCGGCCCAATGAAGAGTGTTCAAGCGCCTTGGAAAACGAGCAAAACGGGGAAGAGGCGGATGAACCGGATGAGGGAAATGATGAGTCTCAACGACACTTTCAATGGAGGATCATGTTCCGGATTCTTCAAAGAGCACGATTCCGGATTCAAGGAGGTAATTTTCACTTTTTTTTGTTGTTTGGTTTTTAGAGCCGTCAGTCATGGATAATATAAAATTTCGCCGTGGATTACATAATTTATCCTCTGAAAATGAAGATTATTCGATTTCAATTGAAGACGATTCAATTTCAGCCCGAGCCGAAGTTCGAGAGGGACCTTTTGGCCGATGTCCCACCCAACGCCAAGTACTATAAAGGCAAGCCGGCCCACTGCGCGCTGCACAATGTGACCAGAAAATATCTGATCAAGACCTTCCCTGGGCATGTGGATATCATGACCTTGATCCGGAATGTAAATTAAACGACAAATGGGGATGGAAATGTTGTACCAAGAAATCAAAGGGTATATTGTTTATAATATCGGGTTTTGTAGTCGATTACGTTTTATTTTTGTATTTTTTATTGGCTTTTATCAAATAAAATTCCAATCTGAGCAAGTTATGGTCGTGTTTTCAAAGTTACGAACGAAATTTCACTTTGGAATCAAGAAAAAAACTTATTTTTTATTAGCCATCTACTACAACATAATTTACCACCTCATGAAGGTCGGGTTTTTGAGAAAAAATAAGCCATTTCATGACCTTTTGGACAACCAACTCTTCGTCACGACTAGACATGGCTGGGGGGCCGGGCTGGGCCGAAAATCGCGGCCCGGCCCGGGGGCCAGAAGAGGTCGGCCCGGCCCCCTTCAAATTTTCTCGGCCCGGCCCGGCCCGGCCCATCCCGCGGCCCGGCCCGGGCCGGCCCGAAAATTGAGAAGAAGTAAAAAACCTTAATTCGCTATTAGATATGACATATTTTTCTTTACTATAACAACTCACAGTACATTTTTAAAGCAAAAAATTACTTACCAACGCATTGCCTTTTTAAAATTAATCAAAAAATTCCCGAGATCCGTTTTCAGACTATTAAAAATTGCCCCAAGACCAATTTTACAGATTCAGCAAGGGTGGAACCACGTTTAACAAGGTTTTCAACTTCAAGATGATAGTGTTGCTTCACACGACTTCTTAAAGTACGCACTTCTGGAAGCCTAGCAATACACTTGGCCACCTGCAAATTAATTCCCGTCGGGACCCAAAAAGAGATTTGAATTTATTTGTATACGGTAGAAAAAATGTTTTTTTTTGCGGCTGCAGCCGAGAATTTTATCTGTTTGTTCATGGAATCAACCGTTTTGGAGCCTTAGCGTGGTTTTGGGTACGTTTTATGTATAATAAATAAATCGTTTGTTGTTCGTGTATATTTAGCTGTATTTTAGATTTTTTTGAATGAAAACTGATGTTTTAGATCCGAATTTTAGGCAAGAAACGTGAAGACGAGGTCATCTACGGGTTCACTTGCGTTGATGAGTACGTTGTCCAGCAACTGAAGGAGTTCGATGTAAAGGAGATGCACGTCAAAACAATTCTTTCAGAAAATTGAAAAAACAAGGAATCTCGGATCATTGATTTTTTGCGAAGTGCCACGGAATTATCGAGCTTGAAAAATTATTTTCCTCTTCGAAAAAACATTTTTCTCGAAATTCTCTGGGAAAGTTTTCTTCTGTGACTCGATAATTCGGCGACATTTCGTCAAAAATCAATTATCCGAGGTACCTTGTTTTTTCACTTTTTCTTTGACGTGAGATGCTCTTCGTCGCCCGCGGAAGTCTTGAACTCCATGAATTCTTATAGGAAAAGCAGAAGTTTGCAGGGATAGATACATGGGTTCCAAGAAGAATTGGGAGATCAATCCTGACCACCTTATCATGAAGTAAGTTCAATTTTTTGGACATTGATTGCTTGCTTTTAGGGCTCTATGCGAATGTGTCAGAAATGGCAAGACCCCCTGCGTTCTGGATGTCCTTCGAGACAGACTTCGTGTTTCTTCCTGGAAGCGTCCGCCTCCTACTCCAACAGAACTCACGCATGATCAAGCGTGGTCTGGACCTTGATGAAGATGCCGTCACAGAGTCCATGCCCGCCCCAGTAGAGACTTGTATAACTTGAATAATAATAACAACAGTAAAGAAATAAAATAGGCATTCTGAAGGTTAATTAATAAATTTATGATCTTGAAAAAATCTTAATTCTGAAAAAGTAAAGAGGGATGTTGGAGGGAAGAGAAGGCTTCTTGCTGACCACAGATAATCGGGAGAAAAGGAGTCGAATCTGCTGTAGTAGGTGTTGTGTTAGTCGTTTCCGTGGTATTGGTTGACGTGAATGTCGTCCAGAGGCTGAAAAATCCAAGGAAAATAAATGGATAATATCGGAATTTTAACAACAAATGGTTCTTCTGTCGAAATAGTAATTTAAACAGACTTCAGACGATAATATAAGAGTGAAGACAGAAGATTTCGGAGGAAAATTTTGAAAATTTTTCGAATTCACTTTTTTTTGAAAAAGAGAGTAAAAATCGAGAAATTTTATGGGTCGGCGAGTAGGAATCGAAATAGCTTTCAAAATTTCCATTTTTGGAGTGAATTCCGAGTTTACTTTTTTTTCGCCTTTTTTTGGAGTAAACTCAGAATTTACTCGCCGAAGGTGCCGGCGAGTAAATCCAGAGTTTACTCCCGGGGAACAGATGACCCCTGGGCGCAAATACTTTTTTTTATTTGCGTTGGTAATTCGCGCCGAACTTTCGAAAAATTTTGCCGAATCCTGACTGGGAGGCTCCAGTCAGGATTCGCGGGGTTCCTGAATCTTCGTACAGTCAAGACTTCCTGACTGTGGCCCATTCAGGAATCCCGCGATTCTTGACTGGGTGAGGGGTCAATAACTGTTGACTAGGACGAAGAAATAGGGAGAAAAAACGAAGAGAACGAGAGAAACGCGCGCTATTTCGTGCTGTCTCTGCCTCTCAGCGCCCTCTTTCCGTTTCGCGCTCTCTCTCTCTTTTTCGAAAGAAAGAGCGAGAGAGCGCAAAAAAAGGAGAGAGAGAGCGAAAGAGCGGGAAACGAAGAGAGGGCGCAGAGAGGCAGAGAGAGCACGAAATAGCGCGCGTTTCTCTCGCTCTCTTCGTTTTTTCTCCCCGTTTCTTCGTCTCAGGTGACTGGGATGTCGATTTTGAGGCCGCCCAGTCAAAAACATTCCTGAGTGCAGGAATCGCGGGATTCCTGACTGGGAGGCTCCCAGTCAGGATTCGGCAAAATTTTTCGTAAGTTTGGCGCGAATTATTTACTAACGCGGCCGCCTTACGTCCTGGGTCATCTGTGCCTCTGTGATAGCTGAGGAAATAATTGGAAGCGAGCAAAATCCAGATTTACTCGCCGCCATTCGATTTCTCGGCCCCGGCGAGTAAACTCCCAGTTTACTCCCGAAAATCAAAATTTTTTACAAATTTTGGAGTAAACTTCGTGTTTACTTTTTTTTTGGCATTTTTGGGAGTAAAAAAAATTTTTACTCCAAAATCGAAAAAAAAGTGAATTCGAAAAATTTTCAAAATTTTCCTCCGAAATCTTCTGTCTTCACTCTTATATTAACAAATCATGGATAAGATAGCGTTTTTCACGAGAAGAAAGATAATCTGAACAATTTTGAAAGAAATCACAAAAAACAGCTAGTAAACGACTTTCTCCAACCGTCCCTGAGCTCGCCGTCTAGAAACAAGCGAAAATAAACATAAAATAACTTACTGAGATCAATCCATCGCGATATCAAACAATAAAATTCTCGGCTGCAGCCGCAAAAAAAAAATATTTTTTCTACCGTATACAAATAAATTCAAATCCCTTTTTGGGTCCCGACGGGAATTAATTTGCAGGTGGCCAAGTGTATTGCTAGGCTTCCAGAAGTGCGTACTTTAATTGTGTTTTTAAGGCCGGGGGCCGACCGGGGGCCGAACTGTAAATATAAAATCTGCATTCATTACGAGATATGACACATTTTTTTGGACTTTGGTAGTTCAGCCCCCCACGAAAGGTAGTTCAAACCCCCACTGTTTTGTCCATTTCACACCCCCATAATTCAAAAATTAGAATTATACAAAAAATGCAAATTAGAGCAAAATGACCCCCGGCGTTTTAGCTCAAACCCTCAGTTACCGTCCAAATTCGTTCTTGTGGTTCAGGCAACGATGATCGTAGCCGGGAGAACCCAATCCCAAGTAGGCGGTTCAGATTGGATGAGGGGTTTTATACTGGGTCTAGGGGGGGGCTGAACTGGACTGGGGGGTTGTACTACCTTAGCCCCCTTTTTGTTATAATTTAGTCATTGGGGGCCGATTGGGGGCTTGGCGGGGGGCCCCGGTCGGCCCGGCCCCGGGGCCTTTAAAACTCGTTCGGCCCGGCCCACTAGCCATGTCTAGTCACGACCTATCTTACGATCATTACGCTGATTGAGTACGGAAAGGTCCGCTGTGCGGAAAGGTCCGCTGGACGGAAAGGTCCGCTGTGCGGAAAGGTCCGCTAAAAAAAGGAAAAGAAGAGGGTGGGAAAAAAGGATTTTTTGTGAAAATTGAAAAAAAATTTGAAATGTTTTCGCTTCGGGACACGAAACAAAAGGATTTTTTGTGAAATTTCAATAAAATTTGAAATGTTTTCGCTTCGGGACACGAAACAAAAGGATTTTTTGTGAAATTTGAATAAAATTAGAAATTTTTTCGCTTCGAGACTTGAAAAAAGGGATTTTTTGTGAAATTTGAATAAAATTTGAAATGTTTTCGCTTCGGGACATGGAAAAAAATGATTTTTTATGAAGTTTGAATAAAATTAGAAATTTTTTTCGGGCTGACTGAGTATGAACTCACTGAATATGAAAACTGGGTTTCTGTTACTTTACTACCTCTAGGGATTCTTTTTGTAATTTTTTTGACTTATAACACTTTTAGACGTTAATGGTGTTGTTTTGGTGCCTAGTACTGCTCAAAAACACATTTTTAACACTTGGTACTAAATAGTACTGCCTGGTACTATTTAGTACGAGGTGCAAATTTGGCCGTAAGGCGGTAATGGCGTTGGTTTGGTGCTTAGTAGAACCCAAAAACACGTTTTAACACTTGGTACTATATAGTACCAACTGGTACTGTTTAGTGAGAAGTGAAAATTTGGCCGTAAGGCAGTAATGATGATGGTTTGGTGCTTAGTAGAGCCCAAAAACACGTGGTACTATATGTAGGTACGATATAGTACCAAATGGTACCATTGGTTTTAGACAAAATTTTAGCGCTGGCGGCACCACAGTTAATATTCAGTCAGACACCCTTTTTTCTACTCCCGATGCGAAAAGATTTCAGAATTTTGTTGAATTTTCCAAAAAATTCTTTTTTTCCCAGTCCCGAAGCAAAAACATTTCAAATTTTTTTTCAAATTTCACAAAAAATCCTTTTTTTTTTGAAGTCCCGAAGCGAAAACATTTCAAATTTTATTCAAATTTCACAAAAAATCCTTTTTTTCAAGTCTCGAAGCGAAAACATTTCAAAAAAAATTTTTTCGAGACTAGTCACACCTAAAAGTCAAAACACCAAGTACAATATTACGTCTAAATCCATTACTCAAAAAAATTTTTTTTTAAATTACTAATTAACACTATTGTCTAAGCAAAATTGTAAAATTCAGAAAAAATGGATACAATGTTCGAAATCAGCGCCTTCGAAAACCTCCCCCTCCCCGCCCTCCTCTTTTCTTTTTTTAGCGGACCTTTCCGCACAGCGGACCTTTCCGCACAGCGGACCTTTCCGTCCTTCGTGCATTACGCTCAGGGGTGGTCAGCGGGCCGGGCCGGCCGGCCTCAAAAATGGAAATTGACAAACGGGCCGGGCCCGTCACGGGCCGGGCCGGGCCGGGCCGCGGGCCTGGGGTTTTTTCCGGCCCGGCCCGGCCCGTCTAAAATACAATGCCAAACTGTTGGCATTCATTGTTTTCGCGCCGGGAAAATTAATTTATGTTGTTATAGTTGCTGTTTCTCAAGTTCTAAAACGTTTACAAGTCTATAGTTCCATTATAGAACCACAAAACTATCACATTGATCCTTTACTAGCTAGATCAACGCCTTTTTTGCCTCAGTTTAGATCCCGAGCCTGGGCGCAGTTCGCAGAACCCTCTATAGACGGGCCTGCACGGGCCGGGCCGGGCCAGGCCCGTCACGGGCCGGGCCGGGCCGGGCCTGGAAAAAGACTAGACGGGCCGGGCCGGGCCGGTCAATTAGACGGGCCGGGCCGCGGGCCGAAAATCGGAAAAATAGGGTCCGCTGACCACCCCTGATTACGCTGCCTACAGAGTGAGAGTTGACCCAAACTGACAGTTTGCGTCAAGTCTAACTCTTTCCAACAAAAATTATTTTTTCCGCAAGATTCTCGAAGTGTTAGCCCTTCTGCGCATATAACTGTATAACTACGTTGTAACTGGTAAGTTTACCATTGTTTTTTGCTTGTCACACACTCTGTTCCGTTGTGTTTTCATTTCGAAAATTCGTGGTTTTTAGAAAATGATCTCCGACGCTCACATCCCCACCGATCTCCGTGGTCTGCGCGCCTGCTTGCTTTGTTCGATCATAAAGTCGGGAGAAATGTTTGAACGACAAGGCTGCGACAACTGTGAAGGTCTCCTGGGCCTGAAGGATAATGCCGAGAAAGTTGATGAATGTACAAGGTAATTTTCGATTTTTGTATTGAATTTTTGATGTTTAGGTAAAGAAATCTGATGCAGAAGCTAGATTAATGTTTCATTGAGCTTTGACGGACTTCTGTTATTCGTTTTTACATTCACCATGGTGAAGATAGTCTAATGTCCAATTTCAGCTCAAATTTCGACGGATTCATTGCGGTGACTGATCCAACGGACTCGTGGGTGTGCAAGTGGCAGGTAAGACCTTTTTCTCTACAAATATTGCCTCAGTTTTAATGGTAACTATCTTCGTCTTACACTTGACCTAGTGCAATATATTTTTTTTTTGTTTTTAGGGGATTAAAACAAGGAAGCCTGGACTATACGCAGTCTCTGTGTCTGGAACATTGAGCCGAGAGATTGTCAGCGAGCTGAAGGATCAAGGGTTCCGTTATCGACCAGAAATGAGAGACAAATCAGTTGCTCAATAAGGATCATAACTATTTATCGAATTCAATTCATTTTTTAAAATTAAAATAAACTTCAAACAATTCAAAATAATTTATTTTGGGTGTTTTGTTAGATTACACGTGAAACTCGGACATTTACAAGAGATATGGCGCGGTGTTTATCTTGTTGATCTTTAGCTTCTTCATCTCGATCGGTCACCTGAAAGAGAAAACATAACTCTTCGTTCCATCATCTAAAAACACAAACACATAATCAAAATGACTTACCTCAACAGTCCCGGTTCTAATATCAGCTTTAACCGAGCCTTTCATGGCTTCCAGGAGAAGATTAGCAATGCGGATGGTATTTGGGATAGATTTAGCGGTTCCATGGAGATCCACAAAGTCTATCGAAGTGTTTAGGAGCTTCTCGGCTTTCTTGAACGTGGCCATTATTGGGGTGTGGCTAAAAGTTGGAAAAATTAGTGAAATCCTCAATTTTTTATATTATACTTGACCTGACAGACAACATTGACCAAAACTTCTATTCTTTTTTAGCAAAATTGAAAGATTTCCTTTTTCGCAAGTTAGCTTGTATCCTAAAGTTCAAATAAACATCAAAAAACTTACTGATTTACGTAGATATCATGTTTGCTGATGGCTTTTGGAGGGCTGATTTTCTTGACGCGACCGCTTTGAACTCTTCTTGAATTATCCTCGATTTCAAAGGTCAATTTCGGTGGTTTTTGCTTCATAATGAGAGTATACGATCGAGGGTTGTTATTAAAGGAATAGTAAACTTCCAGCCATCAAAAAACAGCCAGCAGCGACCCAAAGACTGAGACGTTCACCAATCCTGGCGCACTTCCAGAAAACACTTCCGATTCTGCAAAATACGAATGATATGAAAAATTAGTTAAAAGATGAGTGAGAAGGGTGTATTATCCAGCTTTTAGACGACTTTCGTACTGCGGATTCTCAATATTCGCCGAGGAAAAAGCACTTTTATATTATACTTGACCATAAGAGAGAATTTAATCTTTTTACAGATAAATATTGCTAAGAAAACGATGAAATAAGCTAAAATTTACAGATTAATTAACTCTTTTGCCATCTCCTCCTAACCCATGTCAATAACATGCCTAAAAACAAAAGAAACTAACAAAAATCTTACCCTTCTTTCTTGTAATCAATGATCCTTGGATAAATCGATCGGATGTATGCGCAAGTGCAAATGAGAAGTAGCAGAACGCTGAGAAGACCCTGGAGACTGAAGATGGCCGACTAAAACACCAAAAATATTAGTAAAACCTCACCAAATTTGCGATATTATACAAGACAATAGATTCTTACCAGCTTGACTGAGTAAAAGCCAACGAATTGGCCTGTAAGGATGCGAAAACAACAAAGATACGATCGAAATTGCACTCCAATATTTTCTCGACATTTTCTCCACGTTATTTGGCGATTCCAATCAATCGTTGTGGGAGAGGCAAGATCTTTGGCATTGTGTTGCAATTTGGCGCGATTTTATTTTGAGCGCGTTAAAAAATTTTCTCGAGAATTTTTGCGTGTATTCCTCGAGAAACCCGCAATTTTGCCCATTGCGGAAGATGCTTTTAGCAGATTATATTACACATGAGGTTTTTAGAGATTAATTTTGTTTTTGACCTCAAGTGTAATATAATTTTAGGCAAATTGGTATGATTAATAACAATTGGACTTTCTTTTACCACATTTTTAATCGCTGCCTTCTTCATTTTCCGTATTTTGCTTTCTTTTCGATTTTTGAGTCGGAGTTGTATAAAGTAATATAATTTTAGTCGCCATGCCAAATGGGGATGATCTTGACGCGAGCGGAGCAAGTGAGAACCGTTCCGATGACTCTTCTTTCAAATCGCCGAGCTTGAATATGAAATTGCGAGAGCGGAAGAGGAGGGTGATCGACGACGATTATGTTGATGAGGTAGGTGAATTTTCTTTTGTTTTTGATGTTTTTAGGTGGTTTTTGTTGCCGAGATGTCCTTGAGAGGTGTAAATGGAGCTTGTACACAATAGTATGAGATTGTTTGTTGGGATTTCTGCTGAAATTCATTGTTTTGACATTCTTTCTCTGGATTCTATTGGATTTTGATGTCTAGTACAATATAAGCCATATCTTTGAAGTTTCTGCATATTTTTTGTCTGAATTTTGTGAGTAGCGAGATAAATCTTTACGCAAGGTGATTTGAAACATCCTGGGAATTAGTTTTACCAAAAAATTGTGTTTTAGTATGATTATATTCACCATGGTTGAGATAGAAAAAAATTTAAAATTTTTAATTTTTTTGCCAAAGATTTGAGGTTAATATAAGCTTATCACTTCCCAGATAACAGAACATGTCTCTATGATTCTTTTCAGCTCATCTCCTCCCCATCCAAACGAGGTCGGCCAAAAACTGCGAAACCGAAAACAACCCCAACGAGAAGGCCTCCAGCAGCAAGTCATGCGGCTATTGATAACGCTGAATCAGACATATTCAATGCCCTAATGAAAGGAGAGAAGTTTACTGTGCGTTTTGGCATTTTTTTAATAAAAATTTTGCCTAGTGTAATATAATTTTTGAAAATATTTTTCAGAAAATTATTGACAAATGGATTCAAGACTACGAAAGAGATCAGGATGACGCTACAGTCAAGTTTCTGCAATTTCTCATCACAGCGACCGGTTGTAAAGGCGCTGTCACTACTGTTATGGTCAGATCTTTGGAGTTCAAGTATGTTTTTGAACAAATTTTGCGACATTTGAACTTTAGGCAGATTGTGGACAACTTATCCGACCAATTCGACGACGATTGTGGGGATTACCCACTGGTTCGAGCGGGAAATCAATGGAAGAAATTTCGAAGTCTGTTTGGAGAATTTATTATGGTAAGATTTTGAGATTTTTTTTGTAAATTTAGGCTTCAAGAATAATTGGAATATCATTTATGCACTGTTGATTAATTGGAAATAGCAAAAATTTGGAAAAAAATTGATGAGATGTCATGGATAATATAAATTTGCTTCAGATATTCGTTGGGAAGATCAAACAGAGCATCATATACGATGATGGCTTCACAGACTACGTTATGCAGTTACTGACTTGTTTTGCATCTTCATCGGTCAGAAATTTCAGACATACGGCGACTTTTGCAGGTAAATGGTTTTTCGCACTGTGCGGTTTATTTTTTATTTTTTTTTGCACAGTGCAGCGGGTTTGTTTTCATGTGCACTGTGCGTTTTTTCGAAAAAACGTGTTTTCGCACAGTGCAGAAATCAAATCTCGGAGTTTTGTCGCACGGTGCAAAGATTTTGTTTTTTTTTGACTGCACTGTGCGCTTGCGACAAAAAATCTTTCGCCTCTCTTTTTGACTTGCACCGTGCAGTCCGTCTTTCTTTTTTTGCACTGTGCAGTTGCGTTAAAGGTTTGTCGCGGATTCTGTTCACTGCACGGTGCATTGAGTTTGTTGAAGTTTTGCACGGTGCGTAAAATTTGTCGAAAGTTGAGGGGGAATGGTTCGAAAAGTTGTCGCTCTTTGGCTTTGAAATGCACAGTGCAGTGAAAAAAGGTTTTTGTTTTGCACAGTGCAAAGGAATTTTTGGGATTTGGCACGGTGCAGTGGATTTTTTTTGGAATTTCGCACAGTGCAAGGGAATTTTCGGGTTTTTTTTTGGAATTTCTCCATTTTTAGAGGGTTTTGGCCAATTTTTTCGACTAAAATTCGAATAAAATTTTCTACTCGTGTATAATATGAGTCGATTTTGCAGCCATGAAGTTCTCCTCGGCCCTGGTGGATGTTGTAGTAGAGCTGGTCGAGCTGAAAGAGAAAAATTCGCGCCAAATCGAGACGGAAAAACTGAAACTGAAGCAGAACCCGAGCAGCGACGCCATGGAGGCCCTGCTGAAGCAGAAATCGGACATTGAACGCAAAATCTCCGAGCTCTCCGTGATGATCCAGTACGTTTTCAAGCACGTTTTCGCCCACCGCTACCGCGACATCGTCTCCGACATTCGCTGCGTGTGCATCAGCGAGCTGGGCAAGTGGATGCTGGTCTATCCGGAGCTGTTCCTCGACGACAGCTACCTGAAATACGTGGGCTGGCTGCTGTACGACAAGAACCCGGAAGTCCGCTTAAAATGCGTTCAAACCCTAGTCCCATTGTTCCAAAATAGAGTATATAGAAGTCGACTGGAGCTGTTCGCATCAAAGTTTAAAGAGCGAGTCATTACGATGGTCATGGACAAGGATCGGGATGTTGCTGTAGGCGCGGTAAATTTGATCACAGAGGTCAATAAGTAAGTTGGAGGAGAAGGAAAATGGGTTTGGAGTGTTTGAATTATCTTGTTGCATAATTTGGGATTTTTTCCGGTTGAGTTTGGCCAAGGATTCAACGATTTTTGCGATAAGGTAGGGCGCAGCTCGCCAGTTCGAAATTTTTGTGGAAAAGCGGAATTTTTGGTTGAATTGGGTTTAGGAGAGCGTATAAAGCGACATGAAATTTTTCCTCGCAGAAATTTAGCGAGATTTTTAGGATTTTTACGATAAGGTAGGGCGCAGTTCGCCAGTTCGAAATTTTTGTGGAAAAGCGGAATTTTTGATTAAATTTGGGTTAGAAGAACCTATAAAGCGAAATGAAGTTTTTGTCGCGGAAATTCAGCAATAATTTTTGGATTTTTGCGATAAGTCAGGGCGCAGCTCGCCAAAATTAAATCTGGTTAAAAAAATGCTAATATTTGCGGAAGCGTCTTGTAAAAGCGTACTGTCGCTCTATACAGGGTTTAGTTTAATTGACAAATTTTTTGTTTAACTTAGGGCGCAGCTCGAGAAATCAGAAAAATCTGTTTTCTTTTGAAAAAATCCAAAAATTTCAGAGCCTTCCCGGAGATGCTCCAAGTGGATGATTGTGCAACCGTCTACGAGGCTGTCTATTGCGCGAATCGCGCCCTGGCCCAAGCCGCAGCCCGATTTCTGGACGCTCGATTATTCGGAAATTCCGAGCCGAAAAAGATTATCAAGAATCTGCTTCAATTCTACAGCGAAGGAGAAGTTCATGATCATGGCGCCTATCTGGTGGACTCGCTAATCGAAGTCACACCGGCCGTAAAAGATTGGAAAGTCATGGGAGAGCTTTTGCTGGAAAATGATGATGAAGGTTGGTAAACATGGTGGATTTTGTTGTGAAATTGAGTTGAATATGAGGGATGAAGGATCGCTGAAGAGATGAGAGGGATTTTGGAGGCGATCGGATATTGTTTTAGGCATTAATTTTTAGGAAAATTAGATTTTTTGAGGATTTTTACGATTTTTTTAGTTTTTGTCTTGATTTTGGATGGAATTGGATAGAGTAAAGGTCAGAGTGTATATTAAATAGTATGAAATGTACTTAGAATAAGATAAAATCGAGTTTTTGGTCTTGAAAAAAAAATTTTTTGATGAAATTTTTTTATTTTTTTTTTGGCGGATTTGGATGAAAATAAGCATTTTTTGTGTTGTCAGGATCATGTGGGATTCATAGTTGACGACAGTAATAAATTTTATTAGAATCTGTCGCTGACAAATCGCGAAAAATCAGATTTTTTGGGAAATTTTCACATTTTGTTCGGAAAAGTTGGATTTTTTTTAACAAGGAAAGTACTTTTATGGGGTATGGAGTTGCAGGTCAAGACATATATCAAAAAATTCGCAAAATTTTTCTGATTCAGAATATGTAAAAGTTAGCTGCCTGATTTTGGTTTGCAAGGGCGAAACCCCCTTAAGAACCCCCAGAACTTTTCTCGCACTCCACGCAAATGCCATTTTGACCACGTTTTTACCAATTCAAAAGTTTTGTTTTGAGCTAAGGTAAACCCTGGCATCTTGACAAGCCTTGAAATATCAAATTTGATTAATACTACCCCTTGTTTACATTGGAACTATTAATTTATTAGGTGTAGTACGAATTTGATGTTTTACGGCTTGTCGAGATGCCACGGTTTACTTTAGATCAAAGCAAAGCTTTTGAACTGGTAAAAACTTGGTCGAAAAAGTATTTGTGTGGTGTTGCGAGAAAAGTTCTGAGGGTTTTTTTGCCTTTACAGACCAAAATTGGGCAGCTAACTTTTACATATTCTGAATCTGAAAATTTTTGCGAATTTTTTGATGTGTGGTCGACCTGTAACTCCATACCCCATAGATGTACTTTTTTGTGAAAAAATTCAAACTTTTCCGGCAAAAACGTGAAAATTTCCCCAAAAATTTTTGGGTTTCTCATTTTTTTAGCGACAAATTCAAAATGAAATTATTACTACCGTCAACTGTGGATCTCGCATGATTCTGCCAAGACAAAAAATGCCCATTTTCATCCACATCCGTCAAAAAAAAAAAATAAAAATTTTTCATCAAAAATTTTTTTTTCAAAAACAAAAAACTCGATTTTACCTTATTCTAAGTACATTTCATGCTATTTAAAGTATAACCGGGCATTTGCTCTATCCAATTTCATCCAAAAACAAGACAAAAAACCAAAAAAATAGTAAAAATCCTCAAAAAATCGAATTTTCCTAAAAATTAATGCCCAAAACAATATCCGATCGCCTCCAGAATCCCTCTCATCCCATTAGCTATATTTATCGCTCAAAAATTTTTCCATCCAAAATTTTTTTTTTTTTTTTTTTTTCAAGACAACCCCTTAGAAGTGCTTTCCTTGTTAAAAAAATACGTTTTTCAGTCTCAGCCGCCGACCTGATCGAGATCCTGACCTGCTCGGTGACGCAGAGCCTCACCGACGCCATCCCGACCGGTCGCGGTCCCAAAAAAACGGTGGTTCATCAACGAGACGTCCAACTCCAAATCAAAGAAGATAAACAACGATTCACCGACGATTTCATCCCCTTACTACCCAAATTATTGAACAAATTCAACGTGGAGGCCGAGAAATTGGAGCCCCTGCTGAGTTTGTGCACCTTCCTCGAGCTGGATTTGTACTTTTCCACGAAAAGAGTCCAATTGTTAACGGAGTTGGTGGAAAAAATCGCGGAGATCTTTGAGAAAAACGCCTCAACTGAGGTCCTCAAGAAGATTGTTGATGTTTTCTACCAAATTTCGAAGCACAGCAACGCAAACGCGAAAACGGAAACCATCAGAGCAAAGCTGAACGATCAAATTATGAGTCAATTTGTCACACCGGCTCAAAGATTGCAACAAACTGGAGCGCTGGACGACGATGACAAGGCGGATTTGTTCGTCAGTCTCAAGAAATTGGCCGCTTTGCAATTGTGAGTTGGAATTTTGGCGATTTTTTGAAGTTTTGGAGATGGCAGCTTGCGCCCGAGCAAGGAAAAATGGTGGAAAACTGTAGAGTAGGACTTAAAAAAGCTCACTAAAATTGAAAATTTCGAAAAAATGATTTTTGGTGGCAGCTCGCGCCCGAGCTTTGAAAAAAAAAAATTTTTTTTTGGAAGCGAAAATGGAAGGAAAGTGTAGAATAGGAGTCAAACAAGCTCAATAGGATTGAAAATTTCGAAAAAAAATATTTTTTTGGTGGCAGCTCGCGCCCAGGCTTAGTCAAAAAAATTGACTTTTTGAGAGTTTTTTTTGGTTAAAGAAGATGATTTTTAGGGTAAATATGAAATTTTATTGCTTTTCCGACCCTATAAATTTAATTTCCAGAGCATTCGACCTCCCATTCGACCCCTGGGACCTTACAATAGCCGTTTTGGACCGACAAAACCTGTTCGATTCGGCGGACGTCATCGAAAATGGAGTTCAACTGCTGTTCTACAATCTCCTCAACAATTTGAATCGGGTCGCATCACTGAAAACGACGAAGACGGAGAATGTTCGCATCAAGAAGCGAAGGGACCAATTTGTCGCAATCACTCGCGATATCTTGGCCAAGGGAGTGAAAGGAGTCGAAAATGTAGGTTGATATGGAGTTTTGAATGTGAGGGGGCTAGTTTGAGCGTGGAAATTTGAAGTTTTTAGGGTTTTGTGATTTGGCAGTTCGCGCCCGAGCTTGGAGGAAAAATTGAGATTTTGGAGGGGATTTTTGCTGGTTTGTAGTGTTGAGACGACTATAAGGGAGACGGTAATGATTTTTGCGATCTTTTTAACGATTTAGAAGGAATTTTTTGTTGGCAGCTCGCGCCCAGGCTTAGTCTTAAAAATGGTATTTTGAAGATTAGTTTTGTTGGGTATAAAGTGTTTGAAGGTGTATTAGGGAGACTGTAATGATTTTTACGGCTTTTGTAGGGATTTAGAATGATTTTGTTGGTGGCAGCTCGCGCCCAGGCTTTGTTTGAAATTTGGGATTTTGATAAAAGAAATGATGATTTTGTGGTTGATTAAGTTTTGTGGAGGTAAAATACGGGTTGTTTCGATTTTCGTCAAGTTTTACCTTATTTTAGGCGTTCTCCTGCCTTTGCGACGTCCTAATTTTCTTCAACCACAAAATCTCCGAAGACGTACCTCGCTTCGAAGACCTTGGCATCGAAATCGACACTCCATTCATGAACACGATCCATTCGTTTGTGATTAGCAATGTTTTCCACTCACTTCCGGACGAAGAGCACATGGATCAGGAAAGTCAGATCGATCTGACCTGTAAACGACGAATTGTACTCGGCCAGTACTGCAAATTGATCATTTATGGCATCCTGCCGGTCCATGAAATGTCATCGATCGTCAAATATTATGTTAGGTACCTGGACGACTATGGTGATATCCTCAAGGCATTGATCCAAAAAGCCAAAGATTTGGATCGATTACTGGCCGCTAAAGCATTGATTCAGGTGCGAAATGGGGTAGAATGAAACAAGGAGAAGCTTGAAGGCAGCGGAAGGGATGAGCAGAATTTTAGAGGGAGAAAAGGGGAACTGGCCCTTATTTTAGGTGATTTTTTGGTGGTTGTAGGTCGTAGAAGGTTTAGATTGGGTGGAAAAGGGTGTGAAACGAAGAGGAAGAAATTTGGGAAATTTTGAGTGGGATGGGAGAGAATTCGAGGGTGTGGTAAGGGGGGATTTTGAAATTTTTTCCTTTTTTCGGAAGATTTTTTATTTTTTTGTGGGAAATAGTAAGTCTCGGGATTGATTTCGGGACTTTCTGAGGTGGTTTCTGTAAATTTGAGACAATTTCGGACCTTTTTTTACAAGGAAAATACTTTTACGTGGTAAGGAGTTACAGGTCGAGACATATATCAAAAAAATCGAAAAATTTTTTTGGATTTAGAATATGTAAAAATTAGCTGCCCAGTTTTGGTTTGTGAGGCCGAAAACAACTTCAGCACTTTTCTTGCAACACCACGCAAATGCCTTTTTTGACCAAGTTCTTTTCAATTCAAAAAGTAAAAAAGGGGGATTTGCGTGGTGTTGCGAGAAAAGTTTTGAGGGGTTTTCGCCCTTACGAACTAAAACTGGGCAGCTGATTTTTACATATTCTGAATCAGAAAATGTTTGCGATTTTTTTGGTATATCTGTCGACCTGTAACTCCACACCCCATAGAAGTACTTTTCTTGTAAAAAAGAGGTCCGAAACTGTCTCAAATTTATAGAAAACACCTCAGAAAGTCCCGAAATCAATCCCGAGACTTACTGTTTCCCACAAAAAATAAATAAAAAAACTTCTGAAAAAAGGGAAAAATTCCAAAATCCCCCTTACCACACCCTCGAATTCTCTCCCATCCCACACAAAATTTCCCAAATTTCTTCCTGTTTCATTTCCCACCTTTTCCCACCCAATGTAAGCCTTCTATGACCTATAACCACCAAAAAATCACCTAAAATAAGGTCCAGTTCCTTTTTTGTCTCTCTAAAACTCCACTCATCCCCTCCCATGCCCTCAAATTTCTCCCACGGTTTCCCACCTAAGCTCAATTTTTTACATTTCCTTTATTTTCAGGCCGTGATCAACGCCTACGAAGACGCCACCTCGGCCAAACTGCCAGCCGACGAGGAGGCGGAAGCGCTGGGCGAGGTGCACGAACTGGCCAAAAAGTTTTCCCAGTTCTTCCCGGATGCCACCAAATCCCGAGAAGCGGTCGCATACGTCCACCAACTGGGCATCCGCCACGCCCTTGGCATCGAAGCCCAACGAAGAGGCGGCCGCGCCCAAGCACTGCCCTTCTTCGAAATCCTCACCGAATTTTCAGGGAAACTGCTGAAGGTTGACAGGACTGCGGTGTAAGTTGAATTTTTTTATTTTTTGAAGGTTTGGAGGGGATTTGCATGGAATTAGAGGTGTTATTGAATGCGGGAGGGAGTCAGCGGGGCTTTTGGGAGATAAATTTTGTTTGTGACTGATTTTTTGAGGGAATTTTGAGATTTTTTTGAAATTTTGATGGATTTATGAGGAATTTTTGAAGTTTTGATGGATTTTTGAGGGACTTTTGAGATTTTTTTTAATTTTGATGGATTTATGAGGAATTTTTGAAATTTTTGGGGATTTTTGGATAAAATTAGAGGAGAGAAGTAAATAAAAATGAGTAAAATGGCATTTGGAACCTTTTGCTTGGCAGATTTATCGAGTTTTTCTAGGAATTTTGGGATTTTTTGAAAGTTTTTGAACGATTATTTTTTTATTTGGGGATTTTTTGTTGATTTAGCAGTTTGAGCTTTTTGCTGGGAATTTTAGGTAGGTTTTATCATAGCATAGAGTCTACAGAGGATAGTCATTTATTTTATCAAAAAAAAATTGTCAATTTTTTTGCCGAAACTCGTCGATTTTTCCGAATTTTTGGAGTTTTTTAAAAAAAAATTTTTTTTTATTTTTTTATTATTTAAAAATAAAAAAAAAGAAAAAATAAAAAAATTATTATTTTTTTAAAATTTTGTATTTTTTTTAAATAATTTTTCGTATTTTAGCCTGAGCTACCTCGACCAACACGCGAAGCCACCGACCGACTATCAGAACCGCGACGAATGGGAACCCTACGTTGCCTACCGCAACTCGCTTGCCTCCAGGCAATAACTACAATAACCCGGAAGGCATTTTACCGAGGATTTTACTTCGAAGCACACGGTCCCTTCCCCATGCCAAACCCAAACCTCCGCTGGACCGCCCGACTCCGAGCCGGTCCCGTCGCATTTCACACGTTTTTCGACAGATCTCAGTAGACTTACAATGTAATTTATATGCTAAATTGTTACTTAACCCCGCAGATAATAACCCACTCATCTCTTTTTTTCATTTTTTTTCTTTTTTTCATGAAGAATTTTGTCTATTTTTGTGTGTTTGAAACGGTTTTTTCTTGGTTGAAACCCAAATATTTGAAGAATTTGTTGTTTTTTGTCGTATTTTAGAATTTTTTGAGGCTAATGTGGTTTTAACAAGGCTTTAAACAGCACTGTAGACCGTGTTAAATACAGCTGAAGGCATTTTGAATCTTTTTTTGGTGAAAAAACGAAATTTTTTGTTGGCAGGCTGCGCCCGAGCTTAACCTGAAATTTGCGATTTTTTTATGGGAAATGAAAAAATTGGCTTTCTAGAGACGTGAAATTGAGCTGATTACAATTTTTTTTGTTTTCAACGATGTCTTGAACATGGCAGCTCGCGCCCAGCCTTCCGAATTTTCTTCCGTTTTTGGCGTTTTTTTTTTGGCAGAAATTTTTTTACGACATGATAAGCCCTTGTTATAACCATATTTCCCCTTTTTTTCTGTCAAAATTCACACTCGATGGCCGCTTTTTTACTTTACTTATACTATTTTTTGGAGAAAATATTGCGTGGAAGATGTCAATAAATGGATAATATGTGACTGAATAGGTCTATTGGACACTGATTTTTGATTTTTTAAAGTTTCGACTTTGGTATACTGTAATTTTTTGGGTTTTAATTTTTACATTTTTTCATTTTTTTTTTGAGATTTTTATGGTTAAAATGACTTTTAATCGTCTGAAAATGAAAGTAAATTTTTGGTTTTTCTTATTTTTGCGATTTTTTGTTGGAATTTGAAAAAAAAAATTTTTTCAAAATTTTAAAATTTTCAGAAAAAATCGGAGTAAATGGTCGAAAAATCATAGAATTTGTAGAGCAAATAGAATCACGCATCCGGAATTTTCTCAAGGATGCGTTACAAATGCGGAATCTGCATCGAACAGCTGGAAAATCCGGTCCTGATCCGGGAATGCGGCCATTTGTTCTGCGAAGCCTGCCTCAGCCAATGGGCAACGGTCCGAAAGAACGCCGGATTATCGTGCCCCTTCTGCCGAACCGACTACACGGCCAGAGGATTGATCAGGGTGGAGTACTCCTTCAAACGCAACCTTCAAAATGTAAAATTTTAAAATTTTTGTCGATTTAGCGAGCTGATGGGGAAGTGGAATTTTGGGAATTTTTTGGGGAAAAATTGGGAAATATTGAGTGGATTGGGGGTTTAATTGAGTGTAGAGATGGTTGATGCTCAAACGGATGAAGATTTTTTTAGGATTTTTTGAATTTTTTTATATTATTTTAGGTAATAAATTTTAAAAGAAAGTACTTTTACGGGGTATGGAGTTGCAGGTCAAGACATATATCAAAAAATTCGCAAAATTTTTCTGATTCAGAATATGTAAAAATTAGCTGCCCAATTTGGGTTTGTAAGGGCGAAAAAACCCTCAGAACTTTTCTCGCAGCACCAAGCAAATGCCTTTTTGGCCAAGTTTTTACCAATTCAAAAACTTTGTTTTGAGCTAAAGCAAACCCTGGCGTCTTGACAAGCCTTAAAATATCAAATTTGATTAATACTGCACTTTTTTTACTTTGCAATTATTAATTAAGGTGTAGCATTTATCAAATTTGATATTTTAAGGCTTCTCAAGATGCCAGGGTTACTTTAGCTCAAAACAAAACTTTTGAATTGGTAAAAACTTGGCCAAAAAGGCATTTGCGCGGAGTTGCGAGAAAAGTTTTGAGGGTTTTTTCGCCCTTACAAACCAAAATTTGGCAGCTAATTTTTACATGTTCTGAATCAGAAAATTTTTGCGAATTTTTTGTTATATGCCTCGACCTGTAACGCCATACCCTATAAAAGTGCTTTCCTTGTTAAAAATTTTCTTTTTTTTTTGATGAAAAAGTGTAAGGATCGAATTTTATTTTATTAGAAAAATTACCTTTATTGGTCCAGACAACGTATTTTTTTTTACAATTTTGGAACGTATTTTACCGAAAAAATCTCATTTTTCGACAAAAAATTGGGATTTTTGTGATTTTGAACTTGAAAAAGATGGAAATAATGGATGATTTTGATAGGAAATCTAAAATCAAGACGTATGAATGCCGTATTTTACATTATAAAAATCATTTTTTTGATTTTATTCTAGGAATTTTGCGATTTTTTTAGAAATTTTTTGATTTTTTTTTCATTTTTTCGTATTCTAGAATGAGCTATGTACCAAGAAGAACGATCTTGAAGAACAACTGACCGCCAAGAAGGAAGCTAGAGAACGAAAATCCGCTAATTATGAGAAGCTTTTGAGTGTGAGATTTTCGAAATTTTTCTCTCGATTTTTCGAATTTTTCGATCAAAAAATCGGATTTTAGGAACTGGAAAGCTCCGTAAAGAAGGCAGAAGCCCAGTTGCGACTGAACGAAGACCTAGAACAGCGACTTCAACTGGAATACGAATCAAAAGAAGTGATCGTAAAGGGTAAAGAGAAGGAATTGACTGTTTGCCGAAATTTCTTCCGAAAAATCGGCGAAAAACGGTTCAAGGAACGACCCGAAGACCAAAGCCAAGTCCAATCAGCCTTCAACATGGCAATCCAGTAAGAACTTGATATTATTCTAGGTGGTTGTGAAAAAATTTTTGTCATGGATAATATAATTTTGGCATGGAAGAAGAAGAAATAAGTTTTTTAGGGGCAGGTTAGGAATTGGTAAGCCAGATGGGATTAAAATTTTGATGTTTTAAGGGGAAATTTATATTATTTTAGACATTTTTTGTCATGGTTAATATAATTTTTGAAAATTTTTGCGAATTTTTTGGTCTAAAATGGAAGATTATGACTTATTTTTGTTATAAAAGTGGTTGGTATTAAATTTAAACATAGGAAATAAAATTTTTTGGACATTTTTTTGTCATGGTTAATATAATTTTTGAAATTTTTTATGGGTTTTGTGGTTTAAAATGGGAGACCTTGGCTTATTTTTGTTATAAAAGTAGTTAAAATTAATTTTCAGCGTATAAAATTAAATTTTTGGACATTTTTTTGTCATGGTTAATATAATGTTTGAAATTTTTTATGGGTTTTGTGCTTTGAAATGAAAGATCCTGACTTATTTTTGTCTTAAAAGTAGTTGAAATTAAATTTCAGCTTAGAAATTTTTTTTTTTTGAAAATTTCTTTGTCATGGTTAATATAATTTTTTACAAGTTTTGCCCCGGAAAGGTATTAGTTTTAACCTTTCAGACGTATCAACCGATGCCGAGGTCTAATTAACGAGAAACGGCACCTTTCCGACCAGCTAAACAAGACCAAAGCCCTACTGCAAGATCTAAAGTCATTTCTGGAAGGCTTGGGAAGACTTCGTCTCCAGGAATGCCTGAATTTCACATCGTTTCAGAGTGCCTGCGAAGTTATGGGGTGAGATTCTGCGAGTTTTTGAGCTTAAAACTGTTTTTGAAATTTTTGAAAATTTTGTCTTATATGGGTTTAGATGGCCAGCCCCGGTTAAAAAGACTATCCAGCCCTCAACATCGGCGATGGAGCCGCCGAAAATCCCGGCTGTGGCTAAAGAGATCCCCGAAAAAATGAAAACCCATCAGAGATTGGACTTGATCAGCAAAAAGTTGTACAGCGGACTGGTCGACGTCCCAACCCCAAAGCCGAAGCCCGCCAACGCGTTTGAGAAGATGAGAATGATGAGGGAAGACGAGAAACTACTCCATTTGCCGAGAGAAGTAGGGTTTTAACATGTTTTTGATTTTTTTTTTGTAAAAAATTGATGAATTTTGAAAAAAAGCAAAGTTTCATTCGGGGCAGTTCATGGATAATATAATTTTGGGAATGAAAAGGAACGAACAAGCGGTTTAGGGGTAGATTGGAGATTGGTGAGCCAGACGGCTTGAAAAGTTCAATCTTTTACGTGGAAATTTATATTACTTTAGGCATTTTTTGTCATGAATAATATAATTTGGGGCAGATCGAGTATCGGACCAATATTTATTTATATCCAATGCTGCAAAATTGGTTGACTAGCCAAGGGGGTTATTCTCTGTTCAAACCGGAGGATAGGTGGTTCATGACCAAGCTCCCGACCTAGGTCGTGACCGATGTCAAGGAGGTTGCTTAAAATTACCCGGAAATGGTCTCAATATTGCCTACAGTGACGGACCTGATCCAGTGGCAAAAACGTACCATTTTGCATCCGGGAAGCATCAAAAAATGTAGCAAAATGCCTCCCTCTCCAAGTGAAAAAACTCCGTTCAGAGCGGGCGGGCTTTCGAAATCGGAGTTTTTTCACTTGGAGAGGAAGGTATTTTTCTACATTTTTTGATGTTTCTCGGATTCAAAATGGTACGTTTTTTGCCGCCCGGATCAGGTCCGCCACATTATGATGTTCACGGCGCTTTTTTTAGGGCAGGTCGTCATCAAGCTTAAGGTCTAGGTCGCACGCCAATTTATTTTCTTCAAAAACTATTTTTGTGAGCTGCGCCCGAGTTTGCGAGAATGTTGGTTGCCATTTTATACGAAGAAGGCAAAAATTCCGTTTTTGGTGAAAACAACCGGTGAAAACAGAAATTAGTGCAGAATTTTATGTGTTTTCAGAAAAAAGGACTGTACTACCGCATCTTGGTAACTGTTGCGTAATAATTAGGGTAAAAATTGAGATTTTTCCAGTTTTATTGAGAATCCTTTAAATTAAGAAGCAAAATGAGATAAATATAGGAAAATATAATTAACTGTAAGATGTAACACCACCGTTACCACCGTCGTCATTGTACACGTCGATTGGTCGACTATATTTGCTGGATTGACTTAGTCTTGACTGGTTTGACTTAGGTTTGGATTACTATGTAGTAACTGGTGTTGGTGGTGGCGGTTTAAAAATTCCGGCTCATGAACTGTCGATCTTGTTTGTCATCTCTTTAATTCGCCACATATCTTTGTTTTTGCAATTTTTCCACTTCTTCTGTGAGCTCCCGAACTTTTTTCCCTGAGGCAGTTGCTACGGCCGCCCGTTCACGTTGAAGATTCAATCGAGACGTAGGAGTCCTTCTTGGAGTCACAGAACCGTTTGTGATGTCAGTTAGAACGTTCTGAAAGCGCAAAGACCCTTAAAATTCAAAATTTCGAATTTTTTGCCTTTAGGACCCTAACTTTGAACCCAATTTTCTCAAAAAGTACGCGACCAATTTTCGATGTTTCAACGGAATTTGAAAGCCCACATGCGATTCTATGTAATATCTAAAAACAAAAAAAATCTATAAGAAAAAACATACCTCATTGATGTAAACACTGAAATTTCCATTTTTTTGGGTTACTGTAGAATCGGGCTGGTCGACGGCCAATTGCTTCAGGCGCTTTGATTCACGCATTTTATGGGCCTGCAGATCCCGCTGTCTCTTCCTGTCTAGGTTGCCATTCCTTAAGGCGTTGATTCCGCTCTCAGATTGCGAGAATAAGTTAAAACTCATCTGAGAGAAACTCAAAATTTCACCATTTTTGACTTGTAACACCCGGGGCTTCTTATAAAATTTTAAAAAATCATGCCCATTGGATAGAGCATTAAAAAAGCTACAATTCCATAGACTCAAAAGTTAAGGTATGGCACCTCAATCAAAAGTTATGGACGAAATAAATTACCTTACACCAGCGGTAAACATTAAAGGCGCCGCCAATTATGGCAAATATTTATTTTTTTTCTATCTTGAGTGAACATTTTTCGATTTGTCTGTTATTCTTCTTTACTTTGTGAAATTTTCGAGATGATTAACACTTTTTCTGCCATGATACGGTAGGATGTTTAGCGGAGGGAAACAGTTGACCAAACGGGCCAGGGAGACACTTGACACGAATAATTTTTTTGATTTTTTGTAGAAGAAAATAAATTGGCGTGTAGGTCGCGATCTAGGTCATGAGTAATCTCCATGCTTGATGACGACCTGACCTAAAAAAAGGTGTCTTGACCATTATACAGTGGCGGACCTTATCCAGTGTCAAAAAACGTACCATTTTGCATCCGGGAAGCATCAAAAAATGTAGCAAAATGCCTCCCTCTCCAAGTGAAAAAAGTCCGATTTTGAAAGCCCACCCGCTCTTTTTGTGAAAGGGCCCGCTCAGAACGGAGTTTTTTACTTGGAGAGGGAGGCATTTTGCCACATTTTTTGATACCTCCCAGATGAAAAATGATACTTTTTTTGCCACTGGATCAGGTCCGTCACTGCAGTCAACATTGAGACCATTTTCGGGTAAGTTTTGGCAACCTCCTTGGCCTCGGTCACGACCTAGGTTGCAAGATTGCTCATGAACGACCTATCCTCCGATGTGAACAGAGCAACCAACCACTTGGCTAGCTAGTCAACCAATTTTGCAACATTGGATATATAAATTTTTTTCCGCTACCCGATCTGCCCCAAGTGAAGGGTAGCCGAAAGAAATGCTGCGAAATTTTGGCGGTAAAAGATAAATAATAAATTTCAGGACGAAAATAACCGCCCTCCCGACCGCTTCCCCAAATTCATCATGGCCGACCGCAACGGCCAAGTTCTCAAGCCGCCGGAGCCGAAAACCGTCGGCCCCATCGACCTCAGATACCCCACGAAAGAAGAGCTCCAACTGAAGAGAAGACAACGCGAAGAGGCGTTGCGAAGGGAAGTGGAGCAAGCAGAGGCTGCGAAAAATAAAGACAACTCGCTGATCCGCAGATTGGACGACATTAACACCAACTCCGGAGACGGAACAACATTGAACATCACATCTGATGCGAGCATGATAAACAGCCCATTGCAAACCAGAGACAATAAATTCAATGTCCGATCGTTCTCAGAAGCCAAGAGAAAATCATTGAGCAAGATTTGCGGTGTGAAGCCGAAGCACAACGCCACGATTCGCTTGGATTCCGACGATGAGGATATTGACCATCATGAGGAAGATAAAATTGAGAAGAAAGGTGAAAAGAAGAAGGAAGATAGTGGAAGTAGTGATATCAGCGGAAAGAATAAGCCTTGTGGAAGTGAAAAAGGTGAGTTGCACTTGGGATTACTGTAATTTTTAAGGATTTTTTGTGGATATTGTAGTAGGGGGTAGATGGTGGAAATTGATGGGAAAAGCAGAAAAGTTTGGAGATTGTAACGGAAAAGTGGGATTTATAGATAAAGTAGAGAAGAATCTTGATTTTTGTAAGCAGTAGTTACAGCTTGGATTACTGTAACATCGATTTTTTTTTGAGTTTTAGTAAATCGCTCAAAAATTTTAAAATCTGTACTAAAAATGTTCATAGAGAGTAATGTGTAATTTAGATAAGACGGACAAACCCCCAAAGGCTCCATCAAGTCATCTACCAACTGCATCGGCCAAGACTCCACTTGATATTTCGAGAAATTCAAAGATTGAGCTGTATCAAACATCTCAACCAAAATCCGTCCCAAAAACTACTTCGAAGCCGGCCGCCAAAAAAATTATCGTCTTGGACTGTGAAACTCAGCCTGTTAAACCTGCGACAGACTCTGGAGCCAACTCCGAAGCCAGCAAGGACAGAATTTCGAGACCTGAAACTTCAGGAATGCCTAAAATAACATCGATCTCGCGTTTGCTGGAAAATCAGAGGAAAAGAAGGTCGGATGAGCGCGACGATGCAACTACGAAGCGCCCGAAAGCAGCCGCCGTCAATAGAAATGCCAGATCTACGGGTTCTGTGCAAAAAATCTCCACCTTCCTCAAGAAGCCGGACAAGAACAATTCCATTATTATTTTGGATTAATCTCTCGATTAGTTATTGTTATTATGTAGAACAAAGATGTCAAAGTAATTTGTGATAAATGTGACGCCGTTTCCAGGGATTTTAATGGGTTTTCCACCTTGTTTTAGGTAATTTAGATCTATTTTCTTGTTGTTTTAGACAATTCTTGCTAGTTTTGATCAATTATTGTTGTATTCAAATAGAAATGAACATAAAATGGTGTAATTTATTGTACTGAGCAGTTTTGATTAATAATAAAGCTAAAACACCACGATTTTTGAGGTTTTATCTGGTTTTGACCAGTTCCCATGGATAATATCGAAATTTTTGATGTCGCCACAATCTTTTGGCCAAACAGGAGCTGATTTTATCTCTCCGAAATCGCATTAGGCTATTGCAAACAATATTATTTGGTTTTCGAAGCATTCACAGCGTAACGATCTGTTTTCCGGTCCGATTTTTCGTTTTTTGGCGCAAAATCGATAAAAATTCGGTATTTTCGGAAATTTCTTGGAGTTCCAGCGGAAAACGGGCAAGATTGCAGGTTGTTCATTCGTTTTTTGAGGTGTTCTAGTGGTTTAGAGATCTTTTCAACTGCTTTTTATTGGTTTAGAAATCAATTTCCGCGAGAAACCCGATTTTTCGAAGATTTTTAGATATTTTTCGATTTTTTTGATGGATAAAGTCAAAATGTAGACTGAAATTGGCGCGAATAAGCTTCATCATGTTCTATTTGTTCTAGATATGCCATAATGTCGTATGTTCCATGGAGCACGGGCTCTTCCGAGCCGTCGGAAGCCCATCAGGAGCAAGACTCCGCCATTTCCGAGGAAACCCCTCGCAACTCCCAAACAGCGGTGGGATCCTATCGACAGAATGGTAAGAATGCGGTTTATGAGCTGTCGATTCTATTTTGATGCTGTTTCAGTGATAAAGGATCGACTTACGACCCTTTTGGGTACCTTGTACTTGACCGACGAGAAGAAGGCACAATCCTTGAAGGACGTGATGGATGTTGTGTCCAGTTTTGCTGAGGACTGTGTGGAGATGTTCTCCACTTCTCTTGAGGTATGTTACACTGCTTTGTTTTCTGTTTTTAGAATGCCTTGAGGTCGGCGAGCTGCGCACGAACTTTTTTTGGAATTGCGTGGATTTTGAGCGTATTTTAGCAAAATTTATGGCAAGATGTATTTGAAAAAGACGACTGAAGACTTTGATTGTCATTTATTTCATTTTTTGGACTATTCAGCGTATTTTACCCAGTTCCCGAGAGTTTTTTTCGATTGGCAGGCTGCGCCCTAGATTATTTCGAGAATTACCGCGTATTTTACAGGGGAAGTACCCCAAGTGCGACGCTCAGATTTTGATGAAACTTGGCACAAATTTAGAATAATTTTTTCTAAGATATATGCGAGAATCCTAGCTCGCGCTTTGCAGAAACAACCGAGATTTTTAGATCGAAAGTCGGCGAAAATTTAGGACTTTTTGCCGAATTTCGGCACGAAAAGTTTCGTGCCTATTTCTACCGTAAAGGATAATGTTTCTACAAAAAAACAAATTTTTCCGCACGAAACTGCCAAAGTTATAGCCAAAAAGCGTTTTTTTCTCTGACCGCTCTCCACGTTTAGCGTGCTCTCTCGGCGGCATAAATCGTCCGATATCTCGGCGGCGCCTGCAAAGCGCGAGCTAAAACTTTCAGGAATTGATATTTAGTCGATTCCCGATGTGTGTGCAAAATTTAAAGAAAATCCGAGCGTCGCACTTGGGGTACTTCCCTTGTTAGCCCGGATTTTGAGGGTTTATTATTATAAGAGGTCGACATGTCTTATTTGTGGTGTTTTCAGGATGTCTTGCCAGATGTCGGCTACAGTGACACCGAATATACTGAAGACGGATGTAAAATTCCGCAAGAACCCACTCTGAACGACAGTATTGCGTCAAAAAAGGAGAATGTAAGATTTTTCAATGATGATTTACAAGTCTAAGCGTTTTTTTTCAATTTATTTTTTGAAGATTTTTTGGAGTTTGAAAAATTTGAACCGAGAAATTTGAGATTTTTTGATTGAAATTTAATCTTTTCAGAAGTTCCGCGAAGCCGTCACGACTCGTCTAAAAGTCGACGAAATTCTCAGGCAGAAATGCCGAAGATTTGAGGGATCGCCGAAGTGCAGATCACGGGCTTCGTCTTTTCATCATTCTGGCCGCACCTCGCCAAATTTTGACGTCCCGGATGGCCATAACTTGACGACTAAGCCTAAAGCTTCCTTTTCCTGCCCAGCAGCCGTGGATTTTGACGATAAAAAAGCCGGCAGCGACGATATTAAACATTCCACATCAGATGAGAAGGTCATGAATAACATGCCGAATGCTCAGGAGTCCGATGCAGCTGTCGATTCAGGCCTTCAGAACCTGTCCTACACCTCAGAAGCGAGCAACACGTCCATCAGCTCGGCGGATATCATCATGGGTTTGAGTGGTGTGAAGGGTAATATTGGAGACCTTCGCAAGGTGGAAGAATCGCCTTCTGAAGCCAAAAATGACGTCAGTTTGGAAGAGAAACACGTCGAAATTGAAGATCCGACCACTGATGATGTCGAGGAGCACGTGGTGAATGAGGATTCCAGGGATTTGAAGAATTTAGCGATGGAATCCGAAAAATCTGAGGAGTTGATTTCAAAAGCCGAAATTTTTGATGATTCCGAGGAAAAAAAGGAGAATCCTTATGATGTAAAGGTAGAAGATGATGCCCTCTGTCATGTGCAAGCAGAACCCGACGTAAATTTGCATAATCCCGAAGAAAATTTGAAGATTCTTCAAAAAGACCCCACCTGTGACGAGAACAAGGAGAAAATCGTCGATTACGCGGAGATTACTGATGATAATGAAAGTAAAAGTAGTCGGGAAGTTACGACATACTCTGAGCAGATCTTCAAAGACGATATCGGCTCCATTTCCGCCATGGGAGACATGGAACGGCACGATATTACACATGACGAGCTGCTCTGTTTGATCTCGATTCACAGCGACGCAAGAAGCGACAGCACTGTCTGCAATGAGAGTGTAGATCAGGAAGAGGATTATTTACCATTCGGCAAAATCAATGATGCGTTTTACCGCGATGAAATGTCCACATTTTCCGATATGACGCTTGATGAAGAAGACGTTCAGAACTTAACTCGCAGTGAGAAAAAGGAAAGAGGAGCGGAAGATACGAAGGTTATGGGGCCTAGTTTGGCTGGTGACAGCAAAACCCGGCGACAATTCCGCTCGGAATCACCTCATTTCACCGATGTTACAATTGACCTTCAGAGGTCGAATGCTTCGACTCCGGTCGTCGGGAATGAGGTGAAATCGTGCTACAATGGTGGTAACAGCAAGACTACACGTCGTGTAAGCTTTAACGAGAAAGTTCGTGTCCGACAAAAGTCTGATTTTGCCCCAGACATAAGCCCCAATAGCAATTGGGCCTCGGGACCCTATAACTTTACGGATCATGGAAGAAGCCGAAACCAAGGTTTGCAAGTGCTCTCTTGTTCACATGAATCTTCAGACAATGAGACGTCGAATACCGAAGGCCTCGAAGACGAAACGACCAAGTTTTACCGCTATTTTGGGTTCCTGCGTGGTGCAGAACTCAAAGACACCCAAGTTCTAATCATGGTCGATGGAACCGACTCCGATCTGGACGAGGAACCGTAGCACCTCCGTCGCAAGTGTGTATTCTTCGTTTTTATTGTAAACGTCTATTGATTTTTATTGTTTCGGCGGTGTTTTCGCAGGGGAATCGTGCTGAGACCAAGTGCAATGTCGAGATCTCGGTCTCAACACGATTTTCCTGCCGAAATACCGCTGCTTTCGGTTCTGTTGTCTTCTGTTATGATTTGTGCAGTGACGGACCTGATCCAGTGGCAAAAAAATATATCATTTTGCATCCGGGAAGTATCAAAAAATGTGGCAAAATATCTACCTCTCCAAGTGAGAAAACTCCGATTTGAAGGGCCCTTTCCCTCACAAAAAGAGCTTTTGAAATCGGAGTTTTTACACTTGGAGAAGGAGGTATTTTGCCACATTTTTTGATACTTCCCGGATGCAAAATGATACGTTTTTTGCCACTGGATCAGGTCCGTCACTGTACAACTCATAGCAGAAGACAACAGAACCGAAAGCAGCGGTATTTAGCCACTATGTCACTGTGCCACATCCTCTTCAAGACCGGTTAATTGCACTTTCAACGGGTCGAAACAAAATTTTGTCCGATTTTGTCAATAAATACTGATTTACCCGCGATTTTTCTTTGACTTCACTAATTTTAAAGCCATATATCCCTTTATCACTCGTGTAATTGTATGAAAAACAATTTATTTAGCTAAAAATTGGGTAATAAATTAGAAAAGACATCAAAAAATTGAAAATACTCGGGAAATTCGGCTGAAAAATCTCCAAATTTGATATGTATATGATGGGAAATGCCGGGAATAAGGCGGTACACTACAGATTTCATCCGAATCTCAACGTAATATACGTCGGTTCATCGTATTTTAGGCAAAATTTTGGGGAATATCAAATTTCCGATATAGACCACAAAATTTCGATAAAATACGGGCTGAAAAAGAATGGAAACAACAATAACAACTAACTATCTCTAGAAGACTTTGTACTTACATGTTTTTACAGTGATTTTCGGGCGATAGGATCTCAAAAACTTGGAAAAAAATCGAGATTTCAGTGAAAAATTGGGAAAATTTCAAAAAATCGATGTTTTGGATATTACGGTGTTGTAATATTAACATAAAACAACTCCAAATTTAAGACAGACTCCAACAACTACTCGCTAAAAATTGTAAACTCCAAAATCGACCGGTAAATTGACCAACCCTCAAAAATCGGCTAAAACAATAAAAAAGTCGAAAAAATCGACCGGTAAATTCGATAAGACAACAATAAAACACCGAGTGATGATCAGTAATGTTCATCTATTTCTTGGATTTGGACTTTTTTCGTTCCGATTCCGAAACCTGGCTTTCTTTTCGCCGTTGTTCGTAGGTTTCCAGGTCCCCTTCACTGATGTGGTCGTCGGGACGCGCTCTCCAATGCGTGAAGGTGCTGAAAACGGGCAAATACGATTGGTTGTAAAATACGAAGTCTAAAATTTTTCACGTATTTCAATTCCGAGAGAATTCCGAAAAATTTTGGGTCCCACCACGAAAACATGAAAAATAAAAATTTTCAAAAAAATAGTGATATTCTTGTAAAATACGCGCCATCTATTATTTTTATTTCCTAACCAAACATTTTCAAATTAAAAAATCAATTTTGGGTCCTGCCACGAAAACCTGAAACCCGCTCAAATCGCCTCTAAATTCTGTCAAATTTCTTCTAAAGCCTTTCTGATGTCAAACCAAACTTTTTGGGCTTATTTTCTCCGCTTCAACCACTCAAATTTACAATTCCATTCCCCACTTATCTAGGTCCCACCACGAAAACCTCAAACCCTCCCATACCCACTCCAAATTCTTTCGAATTTCATCGAAAGCCTTTCTGATGTCAAATCAAACCCTTTGGACTAATTTGCTACTCAAATCTACAGTTCCATTCCCCACTTATCCAGGTCCCACCACGAAAACCTCAAACCCCTCCAAACTCTCCAAATCTCCCTCAAATTCTCTCCTGAATGCTTACCTGTACTTTTCCGGCTTCGTAAAGTTGGTATGGAGCAACGACCACGCCCTTTCCTCCTCCGATTCCGCTTCGGCCTGCACGAACTCGGCCTTCATCAGCGGCGGGAACAAGTAGTCCACCGTGTCGATGGCCATCGACGAGTAGGAGGTGACGAACCCAATTTTGTCGGCTCGTTTTAGACTCCCCTCCGGGTTGATGATGAGGATTCTTTCCAGTGGGATTCCGGCCGCCACATACGACTTGACATCCGTTTCGCGGTTCCCGAATCCCGCGAAGAATGGCTGTTTCACCGGGAACAAGTTCTTCAAATCGGTCAGGCAAGCGATTTTGAACTCCTCCGGCTTCCGTTCGATGACTTCTCTGAAACGGAACGGGCAAAATTAGAGGTTGAAACGGAATGCCAAAATTTTAAAATTTTTCTCCACGGCTTCTAGTTCCAATATGTATCTGAAAATAGCCAAAATATGCACCAAATATTTCTTCAAGCCACCAGAAATTAAACCCTCAACTAAATTAGACCGAAAAACAAAATGTCAAAATTTCGTTGCGGGACCCAAGATTGTGTCCAAAAGCTGATTAAAAAGCTCAAAACGTTTTTCTGAGTGTTACTGGCCTTATAAGAAACCCATATTATCATTTCCAGAGTCAAAACTCCTGCGTGAACACAATGCCAAATTTCTTTTCAGGACCTAAAATCATCATCCAAACCCCTCGCAAGCACTCAATTTTTTTAAACATACATTCTCAGACGTCTAAAACACAACCTTTTGCAATTTCAACCTCAAAACTCCACTTTGAACACAATGCCAAATTTCCGTTTGAGACCCAAAAAACCCTTCAAATCCTTACTTTCTAAACGCCATCAAAACACTGGTGGGTGAGAGTAATACCGGGCCATCCGGGAGCATTCTCGAGCCCTGCGCGATGCTTTGGAGGTATGTTTTTGTGTAATGGGATTGTCCAATCGCTCTGGATGACAAATAGACCATACGGTAGCCGTTGTTTTTGATTCGAGTGTACAGTTCGGCGACTCCGGCGTGGGCCCAGGTGCCGCCAATTGCGGGGATCACGTGGCCGAGCACATCCGAGCGCGTGATTGTGCCGTCAATGTCGGAAATCACCAGGCGCTCGGACCATCTGAGTAGATACACGTGGCATGAACACCAGGCCGTGCCCTGCAAAAATTGTTGTAAGAAATTGGGTAAAATACGCGTTGTAAAAAAAATTTTTTCTTATTATGCATTTCGGACCTTAAAAATACAAAAAATGTCAATTTCTTTAAACAATCGGGCTAATGGGGTTCTCTTTGAGCTTTTTGAGACATTTCCACCCGTTTTAATCCAACTTCTTGCAAAAAAATCACATCCTCGGGCGCAAACTGCCAAAAATAAAAACTCCAAAAATCGCATAAAAATTCACAATTTTGAATTCCATTACCATCTACAACCTCACTGATCCAAACAACTTCCTTTTACAGCCTTAATCCGCCAATTTCTAAAGTCTCGGGCGCAAGCTGCCGACCCCAAAACCGCTTCCAATCCCAAAATTCTTACCTGAAACTTGGTGGTGATCGAGAACCTAGCCTCATTCGACCCATATTCCAGCTTGAAGTCCTTCAATTGCTCCGATTTGAGCCTTAAAGTCCTCTTGAATCTCACTGGCCGTCCATCCGCATTCGGAGTGGTGCTGTAAAAATATTCGGCCACTTCTTCGTCGCCGGACGTGTCCGAGCCGAACGACGTCCCGCTAATACTGCGCTGTTTGGTTTGGGTTGTGTTGAAGTCGCGCTGAATGTCGGCGCTCAGGGTTTTTTGGGCGTGTTCGGCTTGCGGGGTGTCGGGCTCGGTGTTGGGTGTGGCGAGGAGCTCCTTTTCGATGGCTTCGTCCTTTCTGAGGGCCTGTTTGATCTCGCCGGAGGTCATGGTCTGAAAAAGCCAAGTTAAATCAAAACTCAATTTCGGCGAGCTGCGCCCTAGAAACCACAACGTAATTTACAAAAATAACTTTTAAATCTCATCAACGCTTAAAACAAAGCTTTGCGGACATGAATAATCACAATTTCCTTTATATTTTACAATTTCGATTTTGGCGAGCTGCGCCCTACATAATCATCGAGATTTGCAAAAATGGGGTTCAAAAATCATCATTACTTCAAACAAGGCTTCTAAAACTCAACGATACAAAAAAAAATCGATTTTCAACCTTTTTACACATCGGCGAGCTGCGCCCTAGCAAAAAAAACAAATACTCGCCGAAACGCCACGTTTTCCATACAGACCTTAAAACAAACTTTTTCAAGTCCTACCTGTCTCTCTTTGGCCTCCTGGCTGGTCGACGCCACCGTTGGGCACCCGCTTTCGTCCACCAAGCTCTCCATCGACATTCCCATTGGGCTGGCCGGCGACGTGGCGGTGCTGATTCCTTGGCCCGAGTCCACGCCCGACGCCTGCGATGAGGCGCATGAGGTGCCAAAGTATTTCTCCAGCTTGCTTGGATCCATTTGGCCACCCGACTCGAGGAGGGCGCTCAGTGGAACACCTTCCTCCTCCTCTTTGTTGCCTTCGGGCGCTTTGGAGCGCCAGCGGAACCAACTCCAGCCCGTGGGTTTGGACTGAAAAAACATTTTTATAAACAGTCGCGAGTTTTCTACTCAAAATATTGTCATATTTCAGGGTATTCGAAAATCCGATAATTTTTGTGACATTTCGTCACAAACTGTCAGATATGCCAGTATCCCACAAAAAAAAAAGTTAAAAATCAAAATCATCTATGGACGTATTTTACAATGTTAAAAAAATTTACGTGACGAAATGTCAAAAAATTTCCCAATAATTTTTGTGACATTTCGTCACAACCTGTTTAAATGTCCTAATTCCCCACCAAAAAATTTTGCAGATTCAAAAAAAACCTTCCACCGTATTTTACAACAAAAATTTTACGTGACAAAGTGTCAAAAATTTTCCAATAATTTCTTTGACATTTCGTCACAAACTGTCTAAATGTGCCAAAAACTCACAAAAAACAGGTAAAAAATTCTTAATCATCTATGAACGCGTTCATAAGCGAACTTTACAACTGAATTTTACGTGACGAAATGTCAAAAAAATCCCAATAATTTTTGTGACATTTCGTCCAATCCTTTTACACACCCTGCAGCAACCTCAAAATGACTCCAAACACTCACTTCTTCCTTATTATTCTGTCTTCCACTTTTCTCTTTCGCCTTCGTTTCTGGGTACTCTCCCCACTTCCATTCGGGATCATTGTGTGTTTCGTATCTTTGACGGTCGATTTCCGAGTCCGACAGAGCGCCGTCGGCAATGTCGGAGATGTTCCTCGACTTCATCGTGCTGTCCTCGTCTTCGGAGCTCGAGGTGTCGATGGAGGAGCGTTTCTGGGGCTGATCTTCACCTTGTTTTAGGTCAGCCAGGTCCTTGGGTTCGACCGGGAGGACCACGGATTTTGAGTGGGAAATTGGTCTGAAAATTGAAACTACAGTATGCCAAATTTAATTTTGCATCTAATAAAAGCGAAATCTCCTCCAAAATAATACATTTTCCTATTGAAATTTGATTTTTTCTTCGAAAAGAAGCAAAATTTGGCCAGAAATTAAATTTTCTTCATGCAAACAAATTTAATTCCACAAAATTCGCCTATCAATCGACAAACCACACTGCCTAATATCTCTCAACGTCAAAACCTCTCTTAATTCCCTCAAAAATTCCTAAAAATCAACAAAATAAAACAAAAATTTCACTTACCTGTCCATATTCACCACATTTTTGTCGATTGCGCCAAAAGTCAGCTTCCTTTTGTGGCCCGACTTCTTCGGTGTGCTCTTTGGGCTGTGTCCTTGCTGTTCGCGGGTCTGCGCGATGAATGAGAGGTCCGGCAGGGACCGGTATTTTCGGCATGAGAAGATGGAAGATGAAAACGGAAGCCGTTGTTTGGGGTTCAGGTCCTCCTTGGCCGGGAACAACTGCTGTTTCTGCTTGGGGATTGGCTTCACATTGCTGAAAATTCAAAAAAAAATTAATAACAAATCGAAAAAATTTTGGAAATTCGAAAAATTCACTCTGAAAAATTTCGTATTTTACAAATTCAAGAGGTAAAATACGAAACCGTAGGCAATGTCCGACCTAAAACTAATCAAAATCCCCAACAAAAACATTAATTTAGACCTTTTTTGGATCAAAAATTATTATCAAACAAGGAAAGCACTTCTATGGGGTATGGAGTTACAGGTCGAGAACAGATATCAAAAAAATCGCCAATTTTTTTCTGATTCAGAACAAGCAAAAATAGCTGTCCAATTTTGGTTTGCAAGGGCGAAAAAATCCTCAGAACTTTGCTCGCAACACCACGCAAATGCCTTTTTGACCAAGTTTTTACCAATTCAAAGGCTTTGTTTTGAGCTAAAATAAACCCTGGCATCTTGACAAGCCTTAAAATATCAAATTTGATTAATACTACATCATAATTAGTAGTTCCAATGTAAAAAAGGGGTAGTATTAATCAAATTTGATATTTTAAGGCCTCTCAAGATGCCAGGGTTTACTAGCTCCAAACAAAGCGTTTGAATTGGTAAAAACTTGGTCAAAAAGGCATTTGCGTGGTGTTGCGAGAAAAGTTGTTGGGATTTTTTCGTCCTTACAAACCAAAATTGGGCAGCTAATTTTTACATATTCTGAACCAGAAAAAATTTGCGATTTTTTTGATATCTGTTCTCGACCTGTAACTCCATACCCGATAGAAGTACTTTCCTTGTTTGATAATTTTTGATCCAAAAAGGTCCAAATTAAAGTTTTTATTGGGGATTTTGATAAGTTCTAGGCCGGACATAGCCTACACCCTCGTATTTTACCTTTTGAGTTTGTAAAATACGAAATTTTTAAATTTTTTTTTCATATTTTAAGGTCCAAATCTCAAAAATTTTTTCTTTTTATCACTCTCTCTACCCCATACCTATCACTTTTGTCTTTTCCAGCCCGCTTCCTCGTCCTTCGCGGCACTGGTTTCTGTTCTTTTCTGATAATCTGCCCATTTTTCTGCCCCTCGTCCCCAATGTCTCCGGGCAGTGGCGAGGTCGCCAAGTATTCGGGCAGCTCCTCTGAGGGCTCAACTTCCTCCACGAAGAAGGCGACACCGTTGTCGCCGAGTTTCATTTTCACATTGGCAATGTCGGTGCCGTTGATTTGGATGTCGACAAACTTCTCGTCGCTGTTGAAGACTGATAATTTCCCAAAACGAACGTGGAATGGTGTTGAAAGCAACGAGCCATCCGGCTGTTCCACAACGATCACATCGATGGCTCCTGAAGGAGAAAAAATGGCATGGATAATATAGGAAACTTAGAAAATTAAGGCCAATGACAGATAATTCATGGAGATATTCAGATGGTATACTTGCTAAAAGACCATAATCTTCATCCTACTAAAGCCTCAGATTTATATGCACTTGTATACACACAAATTTCATAAATTTCCGGAAAAAACTCAAGAATTTTGCAAAAATCTCCAAATTTTGGATAAAAAACATAACAAAAAGCCGTCAAATAACTTGTAAAATCGTTAACACATCTCCAGATTTCCTCAAAAATATCCGACAACTTCTTTTAAACGTCAAAATCTCACTCCTTCCTATCAATTTTCCACTAACCTAGTACAATATCAGACCTCTTCAAAAACAGCTTTTTATTGAAAAATCAGGCGGACCAAAACCGAGCTACTTTTCCCAGAGGTATATGACGACTTCAAACAACTAATAAGGGTCGTACATGTCTCAAATTTTAATCGGTTCAGCTCAAAAGCCTTCGAGAAATCTGAACCCAGTACAACTTGATTTTAATTTTGCACAGTCCGAATTTCGGAAAAATATAAATGGCAATTGATGCTAACACCATCTATATAGAGTGTAGTTTCTGTGCTGCCAAAAATGCCAACATTCAAAGAGGTTGGACATTAATTTAGGCAAAATTTTGGATCTGATGGCTACTACAAGGAAAGAAGAGCAAAATTTTAGCTTCAAATCGCTGAGTTCTGGCATAAACTCCCCTTATCTTTGATAATCATCTTTCCTAAACAACAAAGTGCAAAAATATTCAAGACTCTTACCTGATAATGTAGCTGGATTCATGGAATTGTAAAAATATTTGAAATTGTTGAAAATTGTGTACACGTAGTCCATGATGACCGGAGAGGGTTTATTTGAGACAACAACAGAACCGGGATCAGTGTGGGGACAACAACGAACAAAAAAAGCTGAAAATGAATGTTTACATCCGACCTTCACAAATCTCAAAGTTCACGGCCGAAAATCGCGAAAGAATTGCAGGTGAAGTGCGGAAATTGGAAAAATGGCATGTGTGATAGACGACTTCGACTAAAGCACTGTAAATAAACAGAATTTCCGAGCATTTGGCATAAGGGCAAGGTCAAAAAACAAGAAAAAGAAAAAAATTTCGAAGAATTTTCTCTAAGTAATATAAATTAATATTATCGGCACGAAACCTAACTGATAATTTCAAAATACGACTTCAACCTCACTGTGCAGAATTTACAACTAGACTCACTAAGAATGTCACAAAAATTCAAGAGATATTCACCAATATCGTCATGGATAACATCAGATGTTCGAACCCAAAAAAAATCGAATTTGAATCCCCAAAGCTCCTCAAATTTCCCTCAAAACGAAGAGCGAGTAGAATGTAATGGGGAAAAGAAGAACTTCGACCCGTGAACGCCCCTTTTCGCAAAAATCTTCCGCACTTTTCAGACATTTCGAAAGGGAAACAAAAAACCTTGAAAATACCAGCTGTGCGGGTCGGTAAAACAAAAACTCCACACGGTTTTATGATCCGACTCTCAGCATATGGCAGCGGTTTTATTGGATTTGATTAGAGGAAACGGATATTATACTAGCCGGTGAAAAAGAGTCTAAAAATCAAGTAAACAAAGTTTTTAAAAAAACTTACTGGCTCCACTAGAGAGTATGCACTCTAATCTTGCTCTCGGGAAAATTTGGGCACCAATTTCCCACTTTTTCTTGAGCTTTTATATTATCCTTCACCTATTCGACCGAGCCTTAGAAAATTTGACAAAATTGTAAAAATTTTGAAAGATCAAGAGCCAAATTATTTTCGTAGGACATCAGCGGTCCAGTGTGCCCTTTTACAGTCCTAAACACGCCATTATCTTCTTATTCTTCGCCCTCTTTGTCCTAGAGGCCTTCATGTTCGGCCGAAAATCATGAAACGGCCGAGAAAAAACATGAGAAAAAACGGAAGTAAGCCTCGAATAATAAACAAACCATTCGACATGTCCTACGCAACATGATCAATTATTTCTCGGCCTTCCGCAGGCCCGACGAAACAATGTTTTCACGAGAGAAGCAGGGGTGGTCAGCAGACCCTATTTTTCCGATTTTCGGCCCGCGGCCCGGCCCGTCTAATTGACCGGCCCGGCCCGTCTAGTCTTTTTCCAGGCCCGGCCCGGCCCGGCCCGTGACGGGCCCGGCCCGTTTGTCAATTTCCATTTTTGAGGCCGGCCGGCCCGTTTGGGCCGGGCCGGGCCGGCCCGGGCCGGCCCGGCCCGGGCCGGCCTGGCCCGCCGACCACCCCTGGAGAGCAGGGGTGGTCAGCGGGCCGGGCCGGCCCGGCCCGGGCCGGCCCGGCCCGGCCCAAACGGGCCGGCCGGCCTCAAAAATGGAAAATTACAAACGGGCCGGGCCCGTCACGGGCCGGGCCGGGCCGGGCCGCGGGCCTGGGGTTTTTTCCGGCCCGGCCCGGCCCGTCTAAATTACAATGCCAAACCGTTGGCATTCATTGTTTTCGCGCCGGGAAAATTAATTGATGTTGTTATAGTTGCTGTTTCTCAAGTTCTAACACGTTTACAAGTCTATAGTTCCATTATAGAACCACAAAACTATCACATTGATCCTTTACTAGCTAGATCAACGCCTTTTTTGCCTCAGTTTAGATCCCGAGCCTGGGCGCAGTTCGCAGAACCCTCTATAGACGGGCCTGCACGGGCCGGGCCGGGCCGGGCCAGGCCCGTCACGGGCCGGGCCGGGCCGGGCCTGGAAAAAGACTAGACGGGCCGGGCCGGGCCGGTGATTAGACGGGCCGGGCCGCGGGCCGAAAATCGGAAAAATAGGGTCTGCTGACCACCCCTGCTGGAGAGAAGCGGCCAGAGCAAGAGTTGACCGGTCAATTTGGGGTCAAGTGTGGCTTTTCGACGAAAATTTAGGGGGTTTTGTGGGAAAACGAGGGAAAATTGTAAAATAAGTGAGGTGATACGTTGGTGTCTTACTTTAGGTGTCATATTTGTAAAAATCCAATGGTTTCTTTAGCGAAAAATTTATAAAAATATTGAAAAATGACAATTTTGGTTAAGAAACTGTGTTTTTGGTTGTAAACCAACGGAAATTAGAGGAAACGGGTAAAATACGGGAAATACAAATGTTTTATAACCTGCAGATGTCAGATTCTACATAAAGAAGGCAGTATTCGGCAAAATAATTGGAATTTTTGAGAGACTTCTAAATTCACCACCTAAAACAATATTTTTAGGTACAACTCAAAAGTTTATGACCTAAACCACACGAAATGTCGATAAATAGCTTCTCTAGAACATAAACAAGCTCTCTTCGTGACGTTCGCACCACTAATAATAGGTTTTATCCGCGTTTTTTTCGCCTCGAAAAAACCAGCCACCTCCAATTTCTCCTTCCGAAAAATGGATACGAAGATACGACGAAGTTTCGCGAATATGGCGCTTATATCGTCGCCCAAGTTGCTTCGTAAAAGTTTGTCGTCGAAAAACGCGGGAAATTCCCCGTTCTTCCCACGAATTTGCCCTTTCATTCGGCTTTTATACCGTTTCCCGTGCGAGGACGGAAATTTCCGAGAAAAATGGGCTATCGTCGGGGTGAACTCGAATGGGGAGTTCCCCAATACGAATAGTAAGCAAGGGGAACTCGATGTTTGTTTATTAGCTGCAGCGATACGATGTGTTTTGGGGTGATAAGATGGGGTTTGAAGGGAGAAAGCACATGGTTATAGTTGAAAGTGGACCTTTCCGATTGCGAAAGTAAACATATGGAGAGTTTAATGATCATAGATGGGCTGTACGTGATAACCCAGAGTTTAAAATACTCTGGGAAAGGTCTAAAAGTCGTCAATTCGGCAAAAATTATATTACACTAGGTGGGTAATAAAAATTAATTGATTTTTGTGATCAATGCAAGAAAGATTTGTCTAGAAACAATTATAAAAGGTGGAATATGGTGCAAGATGTTATTTTAGACTTTAAAATCCTAGAGTTTGAGCAATTTTTATATTACACTAGGCCGTTGCATAGGTAACATCAAACGCGACCAATTTTGGATATGAAAACCTTTCATAATATCAGAAATCAGATCAACAAACGATTTGCAATCCCAAAGGTTCAAAATCTATACGAATTTATGCTAATTCGTATAAAAATTATATTATACTAGGTCAGGCCAGATTAAAAAAACTCTAATCTCGCGAGTTCCACTATTTGTCTGACTCAGTTTGTTTGAAAATAATTTTGAAACCAGTGTTAGTATCTCAGAGCACAAAGGGGGGAAGGGAACGGATGCACTTTGATCTTTATGAACACTAAATTAATGTTGCGGGTCTGATAAAAGCGGGGCGAGAAAGAAGATTCAGTCCTGCAAAATAAGAAATAGCCTGACGCTGTGGTTTGAGTGCTCTTATATTTTCGAATTGAAGACAAAGTGCAAAAATGTGGAAGAAAATGCGTAGAATTTGGGTCAAAAGTTGAAAAATCGTTGAAAAAAGGGTGGAGGAACGTTTGAAATGCGTTTCTACATTTAGGTTATAGTATGTATCCCAATATTTTGGCGAGAAAATAACAGTTTAGAGGCTAAATTTAGCGATTTTGGCCAAAAATTGGCTAAAATAAGGTGAAAAGTCGCCTTAAAATCTCAAAAAATGATAGAAAAGCTAATTCTTGTTTTCCGAATGACTTTCGGAAGCAAGATTATGATTTTTTAGACCATAAGAGGGCGCTGGAATAACCAAAATCATTCAAAAATCCCCCATGGATAATACAAAACTTAAAATCTCACAAATTCCCCCAAAAACATTAATAAAACTATGTTTTAGACTCACTAGTAGTAGCAAGACGGGTGTTAGAGTCGTTTACCCGGAACTTTGCTGACTTTTTCTCGTTGTTTTTTTTCGGTCACGTTTTTTTCGAGCGAAAAATGCGAGAAATGAAAACAAAACAAGCCGAAATGACATCAGAGATCGTCATGAAAGGTAAAAAATAATACGATGACCAATGAGCGATGTTTTCGGTTTTGTTTCCGATGATATTTCGGGAGAAATTTTGATCTTTTTGGAAATATGTAGTATTAAAGGTTAAAATAAAATGAAATACGTATTTTAAGAGTAGTATAAACTCCTCAAGAATGGCGTAACATTCTAAGGACAAAAATCTTCATTTAGACGACATTTTATACGATCAAATGTGTTTTGAGAATTAATTTTTTTACAAGTACCATTCAAAAGTAAAAATTTTTAAAATCGGGAAATTAATATTGCATTTCATTGACCATAGCCTACTCGATAATCTTGCCGAAGTTGGGGAAAATCAAAAATATAAAAATCGAAAAATCTCTTGGCAAAATTTTACCTGTAAAACAACAGAATCACAAGGGATAGCAGAGAAATGAGGGGGGTTTAAAACAAGTGAAGCATGCCATTAAACTTTCGAAATAGTGAAATGTCACGAAATCCCCGGGTTTGTTTTCGAAAGCTGATTTTTAATACTTTTATCCACTTAAAACGCACTTCGCGAGCTGTGGAAGGGGGGTCTGCCCTAGAAATTGACCCCCACTTTTTTTTGTCTTAACTGATGACATATAGGATGCTAAAGAACTCGGTGAATTTTTTTCTAAAAATTCGTCATCATGACCGAGATATGACGTATTTATTGAATTTCGTTTAATGTGGTATATTGTACTGATTTATCGCCGAAACATCTCAGAGCTGTGTATATATACGTTATTGGCCATGCTGAACAACTTTGTAATTGACCCGAAATTTGTCAGGTTACTGTAACATACCGTAACGCCCATGCTCAATCAAAAAATCTCGATTTTCTCGATTTTTTTCAATAATTTTCTCGGAATTT